CCCCACCACCAGCGCCTACTCCTACACCGACTCCTGCGACGACGAGACGGACAATATCTCCCCCTACGTCTCCAAGACTGTCGACAGCGCCAACTGGGATGAGCTCGAGAGCGCCTCCGTCAGCAAGAACACTGCTGGTCTCTTCAAGTGGTACCTCAACAGCACCTCCATGCTCGTCGACTGGGCCAACCCGACCCTTGAGTCCGTCATCAACGGCAACACCACCTGGGAGGACGACGACGCCGTCATTCAGCTCGACGAGGCCAACCAGTGGGTCTACTTTGTCATCGAGACCACCCTCGCCGTCCCCCACCCCATTCATCTCCACGGCCACGACTTCTTCATCCTCGCCCAGGGCTCTGGAACCTACTCCAGCTCCATCACTCTCAACACTAGCAACCCGCCCCGTCGTGATACCGCTATGCTTCCCGCCTCTGGGTACCTCGTCATGGCCTGGGAGACTGACAACCCGGGCGCCTGGCTCATGCACTGCCACATTGGCTGGCACACGTCCGAGGGTTTCTCGATGCAGTTTGTCGAGCGCTACAGCGAGATTGCTGCGATCACTGACAACTCTACCCTCACCGACACTTGCGACACCTGGACTACCTTCCAGGAGGAGTACTCCATTGAGCAGGAGGACTCTGGTGTCTAAATGGTTTATGAGAGACATCTACAGTACATCACAATCATTGGGTAGACTAGCATCGGGTTAGCGGTTTCCTTGAGTCTTGAGATAAAGGGGCGGGTTGGCGAATAGGGTTTCAATTTGTGTATTGCATAGTTCAAGTTCCATCCATACACGAAAAGGGAAATTTTTATATCTTGACCGCGTTAGCAATCTTAACTGTTAGTGAGAAGTGATAGTTGCATTGTCTTTGAAGCCATTTCGTGATTTGAATCCTTACGATTTGATAAAGCACATCAATACCAAGCCTACCAAGTATCGTGATATCAACGGTTTGCCTTGTGAGTGATATATTGTAGTACCCTGACATGACTATTGGATTGTAAAAGTTAGTCAACGGGTGTTATGAGGCTCCGTGTTCGTGATCTATAAGCGGCAAAAAGGTCGTCTTTTCCTTTGTGCGGCGTGCTTCTGCCGTCATCTATAATCACATCAACAATTAAAGCAGGAAAAGTTACTTTACTAAGCTTATTGGGTTCACATGTAGCTTGCAAATAGGTCTCTTAGTATTGCCTTCACGTTTTCTGACAGTGATGGTGCAAGGCCTTGCTTGGAAGATATTTGATTTCTACTGATAGACTCTGAGATAGCAAGCAGTCGACCACCAATACTTGCGGGCGGGCACAGCAATATTATTGAATTAGCTGCAATAGAATTATGTGATTATTTTAGTCTCTGAGAACTTGCTAGTTTTTTCTTTCAAGTCTTAATGGTTGTTCAACTCTATTAAGTGGCTCTACTCAATATTTCTGATGGGAATACTGCATTTTTATATTGCGATTGATTGTATTTACTTCGTATTCTCTGTTCAAAATAAAATTGGTGTAGAACCAGTATGGAAATGTTTTCTCTGCATGTCGTTGTTTTCAAATATAGGCTCTCAATAGATCAATACTCTCTACTGATCTTTAGAAGCAAAATAATCAAGGCTGGAATTATAAGTTCCTGCTTCAAACTGAAAGTAAGGTTTTTCTCGGCTGATCAGAAAGTCCAACGATCAAGCTTTGCCTCTTAGATCTGGCCAAAGAAAATACCGTAAGATGTACTCAATTTCGCACGATTGCTAGTCAAGGTATTCAACTAAGGCTGGACTGAAAAGCTTGGCTGTTTGATTTCTGGGAAACGCATTGAGTTCGTATGAATACTCATCTAATGCCAGGAATGCCTCTACGATCTATCATTAGCACAGAAGTTGCCATCTACTTCAGCTCAAGTGCCCTTCACTATGGTTTGTTCTTACATAAGTTGTTTGTACTTGTGGACGCAAGCGATTCTTCTCCGGCATGCTCCTCTCAGCAGAAGATTCATCTCATAAGATCCATCCAACTCCGTGCCTGCGTCGTGAGTTTAGCCTTGTCCCCAAGGAATCTTTCCAGAGCCTCGTCACGTGAACATCCGGGTTTTCAGCATAGTTGCGACTGCATATTTAAGGACGCTATTCCTCTGGCGTCGAGTAGCTTGTTCTCATCTTTCTCCATTTGCCATGCGTGTTATGTTCGGCCAAGGCGTGATCTGCACTCCTCGACGTCGGATGGCTAACCACGGGGAGAGGAAAAGCTTCTTCGCTCTCGAGTCTTCTACTGCAGGAACAACCCTATCGCCTGGTACTATTTCTATCGACATCAAGCCATGGCGAAGACATGCAAAACGCTGAGTATCCTTGACCCAACTTGAATGATGTGTTCTTTACGGACCACAGGCGTAATATACGTATGTATTGTCTCTCAAGACTAGCCATTGACTCACGATGATGATTTCTCATCAAGTTCGAAGTGAGAGCGATCGAAGATACTCTAGCCTCTTCGAAATTGACCTGGGTTTCGGCGCTTTCAAGCTTGCATCTCATCGATCTCATGAGAACTACTAGCATCAATAGCGGGGATATGGACTGCAGAGTCCTCTCAAATCGAATGCGCTTTGACAACAAAAAACCTCTGAGAATCGTCAAAATTTCGCGATCCTTGCTCACTGCATTGACCATGATAATTAGTCTTTCCCGTGGCGGAGAGTTGCTGTTCATTCACGCCGTGCCCAAAGCTCCAAGTTTTCCATTCATCCCACATCGCCGAGCAAGGCAGACAATCTGCGCTCATTTCATCAAAAAATCCGGCAGCTTCCTATTTAGTAGTACCGCGCTTTGGTGTCAACTGGCAAACAAAAGTTCCGTTCATTTCAAAGTTGTCATATTCAATTGTAATCGCAACATCAACGAGCAAGCTTGAACTGCCGGAAGACCTTGAGTTGCCGACGAGCCACCCCGGTAATCAAGCACTATCTTTTCTCATTCAGAACCGCGCGTCAATTTTACTAGTGCATCACAAAAGTCTTGAGACTTGTTCTTCGTCTCTCCCCGATCGTGATCATCGTCAAATTCTCATGAGCTTGCGCAGCACCTAGAAACAACATTACACATGGTGTCAGAATGATTAAGCCGCTGTGCACTCAAGGTTTTGCCTTTTCTTCAGGGTTGCACTGGGCAAAGGTGGTAAACACATGAATCGCGTTGCAACGATTCGTAAGTGCTGCGGACATACAGTGGGCATTCAGCGAAGATCATCATTTTCCCTAACATCATTCAGCCTATCCCTCCGGCTAAGTCCCTCTAAAACACTACATGAGGAGTTCACCCAAAAATGTCTATTTCGGCTCATTCCAGCGCTGATGACGACGCAACTATGTTTTCCCCTCCTGTCTCAGTAATAACTCATAGAGTAAGGTTGTTGAATATAATCCCACGTGTAAGGTGTGCCGTCTATCCGTACCTTTATTGGAGAGTTTTCTCAGCCCCCAAGGATAGCTTCGTCATCATCACCAGCCCTAGGCCATGCTCGCAAGTCACGAGTTGGCAGTATTGGCTCATTGTGAGGGAGGGCGGTCAGTTAAAGTCAAACAGTGCGCCAACTCCAGCCCCAACGCCAACGCGGTCCAGAAGGGAACGTCGTGCCGTCGCACCCGCACTTATTATTATCTATAGTTATCATAGTTGTTTAGCACTATAGACAGGGCTCTACGTCTGCAATATGCGTAAGGTCAGTTTCCCCCCCTCTCTCAGGCCTCAGCCTCACAGGAACTGAAGAGCCCCAACCAAAAAGAGTTAAGGGGAAATTGCAAGCATATTTTCGGAATGGGTTTCTATCTCGCCCAACGCTGCGGCAGGGTGTTCCAGGGACTGTCGACTGCTGAATCGGGAGCGTCGTCCGGTCTCACAGGCTTTGTTGGGGAATCAGCACCGGAAATGCCTTACGATATTAACCCACTTCACTTGAAGCTTGAGGGGAGTACCCACGCAAATCAAGGCTCGTTAAGCCTCAAGAGAGTCGAAAAGAAGGGGAAGCTTCTTCGTAGCGGCGGGATCTTACCCCTGAACCCGCACCGTCACCCCCTGAATCGGTTTCCCGGAATGGCACTCTTCTGGAATGTGGGGGATTTAAAGCGTCGGGAACCACAAAGCTTGGGCAGATGTGATGCAGGGGTATCCCCGCCCTTTCTTTTTCGCACATCCACATACATGTCAATGCCCGTCTGGCTACTGTCCATCTGGTACTTTCGTAGTTTGGTCGTTCTGTGGTGGCGCCCCGTTGACAGCAGCCCAGCAGGGCTTACTCTCTAGCTTCTTTAGGGATTAAGCCTCATGCTTGGCACCGAAGCTTTTTTGATGTTCCCCACGTCGGGAGTGGCTGGTGAACCGTAACGTCAGATCTGTGACTTTGCATGATGGAACACTCGCTTGTTACGTGATCGAGAGATCCCCTCTCCAGCACTGTCCCAACAGCCTACTCATGAACCTCGAGGCTCATGAGTCTGTCGTAAGATATCCTAAGGAGCCCCAAAGTGTTCCAAGGAGTCGCTGACCTCGGTCTCGCCCCAACTCATCAAGCCTCAGCCTTCGCAAGGTCCAAGCGCAGGAGACCTGGGTGTCTCTCCCACAGCCCCCAATTCGGGAACAATCAGCCAGTAGGGATAATAGGAGAATTTCGATCGCATGAAGATGCCCCGGACGAACGGTTTGAAACGTTCAGGTTGGTCGCCCACATCGCGGGTTAAACCTGCCATCTCATGAGGCTGTGGCATGGCCGAATATACTGCCACAGCCTGTTAGCGAACAGAATATGGGACGGCAAGAAACCTTCTCACTGGCCCTCGAAGTCCGCTCCTTGGACCTAGCACGGCGATGACGAGGGCCTCAACGTCGACAGAGTGACATCCGGGACGTCGATCATCAACTTTCACCCACCACGCGTTCCGGAGACTGGCTGTGTAAGACGCTCGTGCAATGCGTCGTAAGACTCTCCATTGAGGTATCCAGTCTAACGTAGATCGTCAGTCGAGTTTCTAGTCAGACTCAGGAAAGGGAGTCGAGAAGCCGTCGAAACGAGGAGCTCAACTTGAACATAAAAGAAGGCCTCTGTTCCGTCCAAATCACAACCTTTCTCTTTCTCCTCACCACCAACAACCAGTTCAATCTTCTATCACTCTCAAGCATCTCTCACTCTTCCATCTTTCGCTCTCTCAGCACCACTTTCGCTCTACTACACATTTCAGTCTTCACACTTCTTTTTCAAGAACCACCACCACCCACCCCAACAATCAAAATGCAGTTCACCATCGCCACCATCATTGCCTTCGCCGCCGCCGCTCAGGCCGGTCCCCTCGCCATCCGCGATGTCTGCAACTCTGCGCCTTCCGGCCCTACCACCGCCAACGTCGAGCCCCGCTCCCAGCCTGCCGCTGCCACCGCGGACGCCTGCCAAAAGCTCTGCGAGGCTGACTCCGGTTGCCAGTCCTTCGTCTTCGGCCTTCCTCCCTCCGGCACTACCCCTCTCTGCTACCTCTATGCCGTTCCGGCTTCTCAGGTCCCCAAGCAGTCCAACACCAACCTGATGGTCTTTGACAAGGCTTGCACCAGCGTCCCCACCGTCGCTCCCACCCAGACCAACACCGGCGCCAACAACGGTAACACTGGCTCCAACACTGGTACCAACACCGGCAACACCAACACCGGTAGCAACAACAACAACAACGGCGAGCAGCCCAAGAAGCGCGCCAACGTCTGCGGCGCCGCCCCTGCCGGCCCCGCGACCAGCAGCCCCACCCCTCTCCTGAGCCGTGAGGATATCACCACCCAGGACGCCTGCTTGGCTCTCTGCAAGCAGACCACTGGATGCCAGGCCATCGAGTTCGGCAAGCCCTCCGCCAACGAGCCGGTCCAGTGCCGCCTCTTCAACGTCCCGGCTTCCAGCCTGCCCGCTCCCACCAACGGCCAGACCTTCGTCGCCTTTGACATTGGCTGCTAAATGCACACATGTGCATATCATCACGACACATTCCACGGCGTGCTTTCGCTTGACGCGGCTCGAATCGGCGAGTTGGCTCAGAAAGTAGTGCTTTACTCTTCTCTACTCTCTCTCATAGCGTGGTTGGCCACAATGACTTCTGCTTTGTATACATCGGAACGGAAAATTCGACAATCCTTCTCTTGGGACTTCGATCTTTGGGAGAATGGGGTACAACAGACGCTTGTGAATGAATGAATGGTTTTTCTGGTTGGTCATGGATAGAACACTCTTTTGGTATGCATTTTTCTTAGCTCGGTTTTTCGGAACAGTCATTCGTTTGGATTTAGAAAAGGAACAACAGAAAAGGAACAAAAAAAAAAGGATATTGTATAGTAGGAAGAAAAATAGACTCGAGTTGGGAAACTGTTCCATTGCCAATCATTCTGTGATCTACGTCCCTCGGAGACTTATCGTACAAATAATTGGGAAGAGACTTGAGCAACTACTTCAGCCACTAGCTGGTTGGCAAGAGCTGATTTCAGCTTGTCGCCTCCAAAAGTTTTGCAGGCCGCCCAAACAATAGCGACTTATCTGTTGAAATGAAGTAGACTACTTCTGGAAACCATCTCGGAGGTCGCAATGATCGGCCGACACTTGTCGGATGAGCCGAAATCGGGAATCGGAGAAAAAATGGGATGACTGGACTTTTAAGTGGAATAGTCCGTACTGCCGACCGGTCGGCACCGTGGCGTCGGATGGAAGCCACTCTTATCGACCGAGCGCCCGGCACCTCAGATGCAAGCCACGGTCTAGCGTTAGATGCGCGGAGAAACAAGATATCTGGCTGAATCGACGAGCCGCGGGGGTTCATCTTTAAAGTTGCCAAGTAGAGCCAAGGCATTTCCAAACAATAATACACCAGGTCCTATTCAGTTGCCAAATTGGGGGCCGTTGGAGAAAGCAAAAAGACCAGTCGGCGATGTCGCCATCGACTTCAACATGAGGTGATTCAAATGAGCCAATCATATGACTCGCAAACGAATTCCATCATCCACCTTTGTTGGCGCCATCCACCCGGCAGTGGTGTCCTGCAACGGCATCTACGCAATTACAGGAATGGTGCCCCGGGAAAATGTCATCATTGACTGATGATGCCATGCGGGCCCTGGGAAAACGACACTGAGAAAAAGTTGTCCACATGGACATTGAGTAGCAAAAACCTCTAAGCGAGGCATCGCCTCCAAAGAAGGAAAGGATGCCTGCCCACTCCAGCAATCTATTCGCCAATCTCGTTTACCTTCGCGCAGAGGTCTGCTCCGACAGTCTGGTCCGGGTCTTTTGGGGTCCGCATTGATAAACCGTGCGCGTGGCCGCAGAGTTTCTTTCCCAAACATGCAAACGACCTCAGAAACTCGACTTCAGCCGGACAAGCGCGGGTGTTTCTGGTACCGAGGGAAGCTGGGACCTCACCTTCTTCAAACATCAAGGCAAATAAGGTCGCTATAGGCACTAGGGAGACGACCTGAGAACTCACAACATTAGCGACATACAATGAGCGCGCAAATTAATCTCCCGCCCGAGAAGGCGGTAGATACGCCGGCGAATGATAATAGCGGGACAGATAGCCCGTCCGAGGTTGAGCTTGAGCAGGACGTCGTCAATGAGAAGTCGCTGTTGAGGAAGCTTGATCTCAAGCTTCTGCCGGCAGTGGGCATCTTGTACCTTCTCTCATTCCTCGACCGATCTAATGGTGAGATTCTAAAGGAAACCTTGTATGAGACGATCTACTAATATCTACACAGTGGGCAATGCTCGAATTGAAGGCCTTACAACTGATCTCAACATGAGTATGCTTCCTCAACTAGATAAAATGGGTTAAGACCGAACCGATGTAGCTAACGTTGGACAGGTGGTAATCAGTATTTGACTGGTCTGACTCTGTACTTCATTGGTTATGTTCTCTTTGAAGTAGGTGCTATCACGACAACGTTCCGAAGGGACACGCGCTCGTGCATTGCTAAACGTTGCAGATCCCATGCAACATCATTCTGAAAAGAACCACTCCACGCTTCTGGCTTCCGACACTGACCATCGCATGGGGAATTGTCGCGACGCTCATGGGAATCGTGACCAACATGGCCGGATTCTTTGTTGCCCGCTTTTTCCTCGGTGTCACTGAGAGCGGTCTCTTCCCTGGAGTGGTGTACTACTTCTCGATGTGGTAGGTTGCAATAGGACGGTAGCTTGAGGATGATACGGTTCTGACCCAGACTTCTCAGGTATAAGCGTCGTGAGAGACAATTCCGCATCTCCCTCTTCTTCAGCGCTGCCTCTCTTGCCGGCGCTTTCGGCGGTATTCTCGCATGGGGAATCGGACACATGAGAGTTGTATGGGACAATGGCTGGAGATGGATTTTTATCTTGGTTCGCGACACCTATCTAATCTCAAAAAACAGTGTCTGACAATTTATTAGGAAGGTATCGCGACCGTGGTCATTGCCCTCGGCGCATACTGGTTCATTCAGAACTACCCCGACACGGCCAAGTTCGTTTCCGAAAAGGAGCGCCGTTTCATCAGGGCCAGATTGGCCTCCGACAGCGATGCCACGCACAACGAGAAGTTCTCGTGGAGCAATGTGATGGATGCTATCAAGGACCCAAAGTGCTGGCTGTACGGTCTTGGCTTCCACACCATGAGCTTGCCACTGTATACATTCTCCCTGTTCATTGTAAGCTACCTTCACAAGCTTGCTCAAGGTCTAGTAAATCATCTTACTGACTTTACCTAGCCTACGATCATCAAAAACCTCGGATACACCGCGGCCGTCGCCCAACTGCTCACTATCCCCCCTTACGCCGTTGCCTTTGTCACAACATTGACGGTTGCGATCTACTCCGAACGTACCGGCCGCCGTGCCTTTTTCATCATGGGGTCGTCCGCGGTCGCGGCAATTGGTTACATTATTCTTTTGGCTAACTCTGACCCCGTGGGGAAGCCTGGCGTCTCGTACCTTGGAACCTTCTTCGCAGCTGCGGGAATCTACCCTGCCACCGCTCTCGTCCTCTCGTGGCCGGCCATCAATGTCTCTGGGCAGACCAAGCGTGCTGTAGGCAACGCAATGCAAATCACCATTGGAAACTTGGGAGCTGTGTTGGGGACACAGTTGTATCGTGCCAACGATGGTCCGAGGTACATTGTCGGCCACTCTTTCGCTTTGGGGTATCTTTTGGCGAACATCATCGTCTGTGGTATCTTGTACTTTGTGTTGAAGGGCGAAAATAAGAGACGCGAGGTTATTGCCCCGGAAGTTCAAGCGATTGGGGACTTGGAGGATTGGCCCGGTGACAAGGACCCTAGATGGAGATTCCAATACTAGTGCAAGCCGGCACTGGCTGGTTCAGAGCGTGAAGGGCATTTCTAAGCACAGGTAGTGCCGAGACTGAGTGCTTTTGTATGAAATTTAATTTGATCACGGACCTCTGAAGTTGAAGATCGAATCATGAGTGAATTTTAATACCTATAGAAGAATCCAGAGCATCTCTCATATCGGTTGCTGCATAAAGCAAACTGTGGCCTCCTTCATGAAGCCATGCGTGTGCTTCACCAATAGCACGAAGAAAAGCATGGACTCGGAAATTGTAGGGTCAGTCTTTAAAGCAATGACTTGTGGAGAAACTCTTACGTCTTTGTTGGCGGTAGATACGTGACTTGTTACCCGGCAAGAGTCGCAAGTTGACTGCGTCGCTTAGTTGGAGCAATCGAGCTTACATCAAGACTTGCTCAATTCAATGCTAACGCTGATTACATCTGTTCTCACAATACTTCTGCCCATGTTCTCGCGTTTTAGAATGCTCTCTTGACTTCCCTTTGTGATCTTCGTTGTTGTTACCGTATCGTCCAAGCTGATCGCATCAGCGCCGTCTTCCCTTCTGGCTACTCTCTTCTTCGCGTCCTTGGATCGAGACATTTCGATGTCGGATCGATGTTGACCACTCGGACCCGAACCATAGTTTTCATACGTATATCGGCCTCTCCCAGAAGTGAAGATGCGCTTGCCAAAGATGAGCTCGCCGAGAGGTTGGAGTACGGGAATGCATGCGGCAATGATCATCGTGCTGCCCTCCACTCTAGCCAAAGGTATCAGCACAAACTCTCAACATCTCATTGTGGCTGCCAAAATTGAAGACAGTTGCTTAACTCACATGGTCCAAATTACCAAGTCCGAAGTGTCGTCTGAAACATTACACCAATGATTTAGACCCGTTGTGCTATCCCAAGTGCTGTTACCGACAAACTTACATGAAAAATCCAAACTTGCGAGACCTGGAAGGCGAGAGCATTTGTATATGGCAACGATCGATGAGCTTTCCGTCAAGAGTGTCAGTTTTTGTTGCCATTAGAAAGAAAAAGGAAAGAAAAGATTAAACCTCAACACGCACATTGACCCAATCCCCAGAGCGATGCTCAGAGCTACCTTCTTTCTCACACTCATCTGTAGCTTCGAAAGGACAACGGCTGGATATATGGCCAAGTAAAGGTCCACAAACGCGCAGAAGCCTAGGTGACCTGTCAGAAATAGTATTTCAAAGGATAGGAACTGAGGGAGGTTGAAGCACCTCCAGAGTAGATAGCAAAGTAAACCAGAATCCACTTGTCCCAGCACGTCTTGTCTGTGACCGAAAAGTCCCACTGTGCGTGAGAAGGTTGGCATTGGGCAAAAAGAATGATTACGCATCCAATCAAGTTGATGAGACAAAATGTGGCGATGAACCACAGGAAAAGCGCATGCCATCTGCTAGGATTCATGATTCGTGTGAGAAGCGCGACGACAGCAAGCTTCGGGAGTCCAAAAGACATGACCCCAGCAGGGAAGCCGGCAATGGTCCAGAGTATCGCTCCGGACTTTTGCTCGAGTGTTAGTACGTCAAAGTGCCGGCCATTTCCGTGCGCCACCGCCGCGATAGCCGTTCCAACATTCATCCATCCGCATACCTGGAGCAGAGATCGTCAGCAGCTGGGAAACCTCAGATAATATGTCGAACTGGAGACGACCAAATTGAAACTGAACTGTCGCTTACTACAGACGCGACAATCAAGTAGTCGTCGAGATGAAAATGCTTCAATATTTTACCTCTGACGAAGAGTCTCCCAGCGGTGAAGAGGGTGCTGAGGACCGACATAGAGATGACAATGCCAAGAGCCACGGGGCCCTTGTCTTCGGCGTTTCGGTTGAGCGGCACTTTTCCAGACATTGCTTCAAAAAGTAGAGGTTGATGAGAACAACAGATCGAACAAAGAGAAGAACTCAAAGACAGATCGAAAAGTTGGCGGCGGCAGCCACCAAATAGGAGAACTGTGATGCGCGATTTTCAGAAAGGAAAGACAAGCTCTATCAGTACTGGGCCTCGGTCAGAGGGTAAAATTCATGATAGTTGGAAGACTGCACCGACTCTCAAACTGCGATCGACAGTTGGACATGTGGAATTCGCAGTTGCCCCTTCCCCCATCCAGATGAGAAGTTCTTAATCAGACCATCAATGACACTTTGGGGAAACCCATGTGTGAGCTTCCACCGCCATCGGGGGTAATTTTGATTTGGCTGACAAGGAGCGGTGATTAAAGGACCAATTTTCAAGTTTTACAAGTTCCAACTCATTTGTTCCGACAGACTGCAGGAGCGTATTGAAGACTTTCGTATTCCTCCCAGCATGGGTGAACCAACAGCCCGGGGACCCGGCGACGCGCACGCACTGAACCAACAAACAACACCAACACAAGACTCTCATTCGCCGCCAGGGTAGAAATTCCACTTCACCCTTGACAAAGAATGTTTGCTTTCACCTGATTTTTGGGTCTCCCGTTCTCCCCGTCCCTTGCCCAGGTCTTGGTATAGTGCCATACCAGAACGGTATCATCAGATACTTTGAAGGACCCAAGACCTTTTTCTACCGTCGTTGGTGCGGAGTCGCAGTTGATCCCAGCCAGGAGTCTTAATCATCATAAATCCTTCCCTTTTGGGAGTACAATCTACCAAATCAGGTAGCGACGATTATTGTTGCAACGGCCCTAGAATGTTGTGGTCATAGTCGGCATGAGGACCGCTATCTCCATTTTTGAAAAGCCAAAGGTGGTCCCTCTTGGGTAACCCAGGTTTCTCAAATTATTTGCTTCGTATTTATATGTCCCTTCCCTTTTGTTGTGCTTCGAGTTCGGCAACACCATTAAATCAATTTCCAAACTTCCCATCACTATTACAACTTGAACATTTCGATCTTGAAAATGGGCTCTATCCCGGAAATGACGCTTTTGGACACCTCCATCGCTACCCAGGCCAATGATTCCAAGAGCGTAGCACATCTAGCCAATACCATCGGCACTCTTGGTACATCCTTCCTCCCCAACGATGAACAGGGTCGTCTTGCGCTTCTGAAGCAGACCCGGTCACTGCTACAGGCACTAGAGACCCCAAGAGAAACAATGATTAAACATTGTTGGGCTCAGGTGAGAAAATCGACCTTCGGAATCTTCTTCCCGTTCGTAAAAGTACTTACTAAGTTGCTGTTACCACCAGCCTGCTGTGACCTTCGTCATTGCGACCGGCATTGAGTCGGGGCTGTTTGAGTACCTGGTTCAAAACCCTGGTCCGAAGACCGTGGATCACCTGAGCAAAGCACTTCGCTTCGACATCGATATACTTTCTCGCACACTGCGTCACCTCTGTTCGATGGGATACCTCAAGGAAGTTGGCCCAGATGAGTACAATGGAACAAACTTCACTAGGTCGCTGAGTTTGCCAATCATAGCTGGCGGCTATCCTTGTCTGTAAGACTTGCCCCAAGCTACTTTTCCTTCGTTGTGGTGCCGTTTCTGTGAACTGACCGTTCTGCCACATCATTTAGCGTCGAAAGTTGCTGGCCGACCTTCTCGAATTTCCCCCTCTACCTGAAGAAGCACGACTGGTCCATCTCGGCGGACCCAAGAGAGGGGCCAATGCAGGATGTCATTGGCAAAGATAATAAGTCAAACCCCCCACTTCCTGGCACCCCCCTGTTTCTGGCACCCACAAAAACGATGGGATCACAACCCAACCTCCTCATTACTATTAACTATTGATCCTCAACCACACCCACTACAATACAACTGCCAGCCTCACTAGGGCATTCAGAGTCGCTGGATTCAGCCGTAATAACCTCCTTTTCACCCGCTTCGATTTGAGCCCGATGGATATCCCTGATGTTCGCAAACTTCGTGTTGGGATCGATCTGAACAGTCTTCTCTTCCTAACTGCAGCGTTGGTAACTTGAGCCTCAGGTGAGTGAGCCAGCTGCTGCTGGGCAGCTGCCAGTTGCCAGGCCTGCTCTGTGAAGCCTTTTTTCACCTTCCTGAACAGCAGCCGTTGAGTGCTGGTATCATTGTCGAGTTGGGTGTATAAGTGCAGTTGACCGCTGAGCTCTGCCAGCTTCCTGGGTGTCGACCAGACCACTGCAGAGGAAGCAGAATCCCATGGCTCAACAGGGGTAGTTTGTTGACCATTATGGCATCGCTTTTTGCCCCGACTGGTTGGTTTGGGTGTGGTGGGCTTAGCAGAAGGCTCAGGTAATACCATAGGGTTCATCAGGGGCTTAACCATCGCTACAGGGTGTAGACCAGTCCACTTCCAACCACTTCTGATGTTCGAGACTGATAGACCAGCAAGTCGAGCCTTCTGGTAACAGTCCAGGAAGTTCCTTTACCTATAATGGTAGAGTCGTTCCATTGAGACAAGTAACCGAGCTCCTTCCGATAGGCTGACTTAACAGGGCTGAAGACAGACTGGTCAAGTGGCTGGAGGACATGAGAGGAGTGGTGGTAAGAACAGTAAATGGATATTGTTAATATAGCAATTCCACATGAAGTCTGTCGTCGTATGACTCCCATGCCCATCCACAATCAACAGTCGAGCCTCGCCCTCAGCCTCGGGCATAGTCTGTGGGATAAACACCTTCTCTAACCATTCAATGGCAGTTAAGTCTGTAGTCCAGCCATTATCTGTTGCTGTAAACTCCCACCCATCGTATGGAACCAGATGTAATGGAAACCACTGTTGTTGGACCGTCTTCCCCTTGAAAATGATAAGAGGACGAAGTGCCCTACCCAAGGCTGAGATACACTCAATGATAGAGACCCATGCCCTCGACCCAGGTTGTTTCTTGCGAACAGACGTCGTCTCAGCCATGCCCAGCACTAACCCATTAGCTCCTGACCCTCGAGGATGCCAGTCTCATCCATATTATATCTGTTGGCTGGTTTGATGTCCTTGATCTCAGGGATAGCAAGGAACTTAAACCAGTTCCTAATGACCTCAGTAGATGCCCCATTAACGCGTCTAGAATCGATGGAACGACTTCTCTGAACCTTAATGATAGGGTCCTTCTCACGAAGGCATAGATCCAGCCTTTTCCTAATGGTTTGGTATCCCCAGCAGCCAGAACTCGCTCTGCGAATTCCTTCACCTGTTGGTGCGTTGGTGCGAGGCCCAGCGAAGCCTGAATGCGAACCCATTGTGCCAGCTTCCTCTCTGGTCAGACAGCCTCTGCCAGTCAGCAAAAGCCACTTTCCTAGTCTGACCACCTTGGAGACGTAGTTGGAGGGTTGATCGTGGTATCCCATACCCAATGAGGCTCTTTGACTCTTGCCGTTTGAGATGTCCTCGAGAGCCTGACGAAGCTGATCTTCGGTATATTGAGGCATTAGATATAGAAGAAGGTATGTGCAAAAAATGAGCCCATTTGGACTCGAATTGAAAATGTTGTGATAAAAGGAGGTTGGGGGTGGGCATTGCGTTGTGGTGGATTTTCGCGTTTTTGTGGGTGCCAGAAACAGGGGGGTGCCGGGAAGTGGGGGGTTTGACTTAACTTCTTCAAGCACATGATGACCAACCATCCCGCCGGAGAATTCCAGAACCATATGGCTGGATACAGGCAAGGACGGCCTTCTTGGATGGATGACGGTTTCTTCCCAGTTTCAGAGCGCCTTGTCAAAGGCGCAGAAAGTTCACCAGAGGCGGCTTTTCTCGTTGACATTGGTGGTAGTATTGGCCACGATCTAGACGAATTCTGTCGAAAGCATCCCACTGCTCCGGGCCGACACATCCTTCAAGATCTTGAATATGTACTATCTCAGATTCAGAAGGTTGACCCTAAGATTGAGCCCATGTCGTACGATTTCCACACAGAGCAGCCCATCAAAGGCGCAAGAGCCTATTATATGCACTCTGTCTTACACGACTGGACGGATGACGTTTGCGGGAGCATCTTGTCGCGCGTCACTGAAGCAATGACACCGGGTTACAGCAAGCTGCTTATCAACGAGAACGTGATTCCCTCGATCGGGGCAGATTGGCAGGCTACGGCGCTGGATATGATGATGATGACACTCTTTAGTTCCAGGGAGCGAACAGAGGAGCAATGGCGCAAGCTTCTGGAACCTGCTGGTCTCAAGATTGTCAAAATCTGGTCAGCGGGTGAAGGCGTGGAGAGCTTGATTGAGTGTGAGTTGGCATAAATGAGGACATTAGAACCTGCGTGGATGCTCGCATTGACAAAGAATCAATGATGAGATGTTGTTGTCTGGGTCGTTAAAACTTGGGAATGCCGTCATAGTATTGGTGGATGCAACTACCTAGTCAAAGATCGGAGTTGCGTGAGATCAATAAGCGGAACTAGGATCTGTGGTCCGCCGGCAACAGAAAAAGCCCCGAGAGATAGACACACCATTCAACCTTTTCGTGCCAACATTACAACCATTCAATGCCATCAAGCGTCGTTCATCCCCAGGTCCTTTAGTAGCATCGCATTCAGTCAAGCCAAGCATTCGATGTTTTGACCATTCAAAACCAACCTGCGCCAGCTCAGCTTTCACCCGCGGCCATGTCTACCCCAATCCGGGTCGCCGCATGCCACGTCTCGCCCATCTTTCTCTCCGCGCGACGCACAACCGAAAAGGCAATCTCCCTCATTCACCAAGCATCCAGGAACAAAGCAAACCTCATTGTCTTCCCAGAAACCTACATACCAGCGTTCCCTATTTGGTCTCCCCTGCGCGCTCCCTTTGAGAACCACGACCTCTTCAAGTCCATGGTGCAAGAATCCATCTACATCGACGGAGAAGAAGTCGACGCTCTCCGCTCCACGGCAAAGAAGCTCAACGTGCTGCTCAGCGTCGGCATTTCTGAAAAGGCCCGCTACAGCAGCGCGACGCTTTTTAATACTAATATCATCATCGGTACCGAAGGAGAGATCCTAGTCCATCACCGGAAACTTATGCCAACGTTTTTCGAAAAGTTAACGTGGGCTCCTGGAGATGGCTACGGCCTGCGCGTCGCAGAGACGCGATTTGGGAAGATTGGGAATCTCATTTGCGGGGAGAACACAAACCCGCTTGCGAGGTACGCGCTCATGGCGCAGGGAGAACAAATTCACATCTCCACATGGCCTGCGATATGGCCGACGAGAGTTCCGATATCCGAGGAGACAAGCTCTCGGGAGGGGTCAAGCGTGGCTAAAGGAGCCAACTATGACAATGTTGCTGCCAACAGGACAAGAGCCGCTGCACACTGCTTTGAGGCTAAAAGCTTTGGTGTTCTCTGCTCAGGAGTCCTGGGCGAGGATGCAGTTGAGGCTGTCTCTTTGGGTGCGAGCCAAGAAGATCTGGTCTCCCGGGCGCTGCGGGATTCGCAACGTGGCGCGACCATGTTCTTGGACTCAACGGGCGCATTATTGCAGGGCTTCACAGTTGAAGAGGGAAGTCTTCATAAAACACCGTCAGCATTCTTGCAACACGAAGAAGACATTCTATACGCCGACCTAGATGTTGGTGATTGTGTTGAAGGGAAGCAGTATCACGATGTAGTCGGCGGGTATCAACGCCTCGATGTGTTTGATGTCAAGGTTGACCGTAGACGGCGAGAACCGGTTTCATTCAAGGGGAATCATCTCACAATAAAGAGAGAGATGGGAGCTCTTGAAGAGGATTGAATCAATTGAAGCCACATCATAGGATTATTTTGACTTCGATTAGCTACAATCTTGTCGCTCATGCCGCCTTAGCGAACCCAGTCTCAACAACCCCAGGCTGTTTTCTGAACGGCTGCGGCGCCGTGCCACTAGTCATCGTACACTGCCACATGAGTCTCTTCTTTTCCTCATCCTCCTTATACTGAGCCAATTGTCCCGTGATGCTGTGCATGACGCCCCGATTGTGAAAGATGACGACGTCACCTTCCTCCCACCGGTGTGCGTAGATATTCTCCGCCGCCCAGATTCTCTTCTGGAAGCCGTAGACGATTTCGCGGACCTTGGCTACATCGTCTACAACTGATACCTCGCCCGTCACCGGATCCCGAGTTGTCAGTTTGAATACGCAGCAACCATGGACCTGGAGAAATGGCCGATCGGGGTTAAGGGGGTTGCGCCAGACCATCTGAGGCTTGTCAGTACAACATCGAGAAGAATCCAGGTGGGGTTTGGTGACTTACGGGATGTTCAGCAACATTCTCCCATGACCATTCAGAGAGTTGCTCTATGGGAATCTCTTTCCCCATTGTTGGGATTGACAAGCCGTCTTCCGTCGCTTTGCATTGTCTGATGTATTCGTAGGCTTGAGGGGCGTATGTAACGGTTGTATTCAGAGCAAATTCCTGCTCAGCCGGGGTAAGCAGTTGGAATGCCCGCGCTCCGGAGAAGACTGACGAAGAGGTTAATGATGCGTCTTCAAAGTGTTAATTCGAGCTCTAAACTTACAGGCCGTGGATCCAGCAGCGATGCTCTTTTCTTTCCCGTCTGGAAATTTGAGTTTCTGATCGGGCAGATTCGGCACCTTGACCGCGTGAAGGACCGTGACTTCACCAGGCAAACGCTGGTAGAAGGGAGTGTCCATGTGCCACCGGTATGGACGGGTATATCCATTGCTTAGCTCCTGCTCCGACAAAGGCTTTTCGTGGAACAAAGTATGATCCTGGCCGGTTCTATTAGCTCAGATCGCTAACGGCTCGCGGTTTCCGAAATTCAATTAATCAGTTGATCAAAGATAGGGTCTAGGCATACCAGATGAATCACCTCCAACTCTTCAACTCCTTCATAGTTCTTGAACTTGCCGCTACCGATGATGCCCACTTGCGGTGCTCTCGGAATTCTTCCTGCCTTGTATGCTGAAAGAATATTCCTAGGGTCACTGACGGCTTTCTCGCCAGCAGAATGAATATCAGTCGCAGTCGGGTCGAAGACTTTGGTCAGCTTAGGCAGAGTCTCAGGCGCGATGCCCTTCTGGTTCTTGATGACCACGACCTGGTTTTCAAACAGGGCTCTTCTAAAAGTGTTGAGGTCCTCTTCTGACAAAGCTTCTACGTCCAGGATATCCATTGATGATGGCAGGTGAACTTCGGCCCCAATCAAAGAAGACTCGCGAAGAGAGGTCGGGAGCTCTTTGAAGGAGAGTCCCTGAGGTGGGGAGTTCAGACTGCCCATTGTGATTGAATGATTGATTTGATGAAGGTGACAAGGCTAGAGAGTAAAATGGACGGAGTCTTTGGGTTGATGGGCACTGTATCAGCCCGGGTAGCAGCATGAACTTATAGCCAAGCACTCTTACCCTGACATCGACGACTTCAAACCTTCTCCCAATTCAGAGCGGATGAGTTGAACACGCTCTTCCGCATCCCGAGATTCGTACTTCTCCTGTCATGTAACACGCAGTGACGCGTAGTAATCGTATTGTCATAATCTCTTATTGGCCAAGCGATGGGATGCATGCGGGCGGGTCCTTCATCTCACCCGCACCTCACAGGAATGGTCCAAACACTGTTCCCGTCGATTATCTCCGGGCACACAGAGACGCGGGCTAGTTTGTGCAACTCGCCCGCACTAGCCAAATGCACCTCTGAAAGAACGTCTCGGTTGGTATATAAGTATACGGCAATGAAGTCCAAGTGTCTCTCTTTCAGGGAATATTCAACTCCCCGAATGCGAATCATTGCTTTGTTTTAACCTTCATCATGGCAGTCGTTGGAGTCAAGATTTCCCCTCTCCCAAAGCCGTTTGAGAAATCAGCAGTCGATTTCGGAGCCGAACTTTCGGGGATTAATCTCGAAAACATTGATGGCAAGTTCAAGTGTCCAGAAAGAAACACACACATCAAGCTGACCACATGTATAGATGAAAGTTTCCAAGTTATTAGAGAAGCCCTCTATCACAACAACGTTGTCCTGATCAAAGGCCAGCACAACCTCTCACCTAAAGCCCAATACGAACTCACCCGCCTGTTCGACCCTGAAGCAAGCACATACAGCCATGGTTCCCGCATCGACAAACGCAGCGTCCTCCACAAGGATCTAACCACCCTGCCATCCCAGCCGCAAGTGCAAGTGATCGGCCATGGCGCAGTAGCCGAGTTCGAAGGACTGGAGAATCTCAAGCTCACACATCCTCACCACAAGACATTTCATAAGCATCCTATTCCAGAAGCCGAGGACCACGATTACACCCACTTTTACCGATGGCACATTGACTCGGCCATGTACAACCTGGACCCGCCTCTCGTCACATCGCTCTTTGCTTGCAAGGTGCCTAAGGGGCGGCGGCAGATCTGTCGCTACGACGACGGGACTGGGGACGAGCTAGAAGTACCCTTGGGAACGACAGCTTTCATCAGTGGATACCGCATGTTTGAATTACTATCGGAGGAGGATCAGGAGTTTGTCAAGACCAGCACGATCGAGTACAGCCCACACCCGTACATCTGGATGAGCAAGGCAAAGGCGAGGTCAAATGGCCTAGGTCTTTTCTCAGAAGGCCTAGAGCTGTCTGAAGACCAGCTCCCAGAGATTGAGGAGGAAAAGATCAGGAGATACCCTATGGCATGGAAGAACCCGGTGACGGGAAAGTTTGCCATGATGGTGTACCCGACGCCGGCGCGCAGGATCCATCTTAAGGACGGAACGGTGATGGAGGACTTGAAAGAGGTCAGAGAATTGATTTACAGACTGCAACGACCAGCAATCAGCCCGCAGTACGTGTATCCTCATGACTGGGAGGAGGGTGACCTCGTTCTCTTCAACAACCATGGCGTTATGCATTCCATTGTTGGAGCCTTCGCGGAGAACGAGGTTCGCCTATTTAGACAGTGTAACATGGCGGCTAGCAGACCGCCTCAAGGTCCCAACTGCTGAGAACATGAATAAAATGTAACCCAGCTCATGTTCATTAATATGCCCCTGTCAAGGGGCGAATCCGATCAGAAGAAGGAAGCCCACTTCATCCGGATTTACTTCTTCTGATCACCGTGTTCATTGAACTCTGCGAGACAATTTTACGGTGACCTCACCTCCTGAACCTCCAACTTTCTCAAACTTCAAAAACACAATGTTAGAAGATGTTACAAGACATGGAGTCAGGAATGAGTGGCGTTACGTACCTTGTAGAGGCTCACTAAGGTAGCCACGACTTTGTACACCTCCAAGGCGAATATGTTCTTGCCAACGCACGTCCGAGATCCCTGCCCAAAAGTGAGCTCCGTCTTCTCCATAAATCCTTTCCTTTCGAGATATTCCTCGTTAGTCTCAGCCGTTCTCTTCATCCATCTCTCCGGGATGTATACATCGGCATCCTGACCAAATACATGGCGGTCCCGGTTGATTTGAGAAGCTGGACAGCCGATATTAATATGTCCTGGAATAAACACGCCATTGGGCAGCCGCAAACCCGCCGAAGAAGTGACTCGCTGCAGATTGAATGAGGCAGAGCTGTGAAGACGTAAGGCTTCTTTGACAACACCCAATAGGTACGGCAGTTCCTGAAGTTCGTCAAAAGTCGGAAACGGTCCGCATCCACCTTCTTTCAGTTCCGCGTACAACTTGTCCTGCGAGGCTGGGTTGCTCGCCAGGTACTTGCACATTTCGTGGAAAGTCTTCCCGGGGCTGAGACTGCCGGCGATCAGGTTCCCTGAGGCCGATATCGCGACCTGCTTTGTTGTCATGAGCTGAGGCTGTTGCTCATGTGTGGAGACGAAATAAGACAACAGGTCTGGTCGGGTATCAGATTTGCCTTGGTAGACACGTTCGTTGACAATCTCAGACACAACTTTGAGAAACGGCGATGGCCTCGAGCGCCTCATCACGAAATTTTCTTGGACGACCTTGTGCAGCCAGGGCATTTGGGAGACGATGGCGACGTATGCCCCAAATCGCTTGACTTTTTCATACAGACCATACGTGTCATATCCATCGAGAAAGCCGAGAGGTTTGCCCAGAGACAGTTTCGCAACGACGTCGAAGCAGTCTATTCGCGTACTGGAGTCAGCCTTTCAGCTTCAACAAGTGAGAATAGAGGGATTGGGCTGACAGTTGTAGCACCAGCGGCTCAAATTCAGCACCTGCTTCTTCTCAGCGTGTTCCTCACAAACTTTTATGAACTTGGAGATGAGCTCATCAACATAGGGCTCATAGGCTTTCAACGACGTCATCGAATAAGCATTCGATACCAAGCGCCGATATCGTGAGTGAATCGTCTCCTCCTGAATACTAAGGAGACTTGTCGTCACCCCGGATTGACGGAAAGGTATATATGCTTCACCCTGAAAGACTCGCAGTCATTAGCATCAGAATTCCAAATTCTTCCAACAATTGTATTGTTGAGTTTGTCAACCTTGTTAAGCCGAGATCGAACACCATAAATGACTGGCACGGCGAAAGGATCGAACACCGTAACCGAGCGAGGTCCTAGGCGAATCACATCGCCATATGTGTCTCGGAGATCGTCCAAGATGTTTACTTTCGATGAACCCCGTTCGGTACGCCAGGCTAAATAGACCGCGTACAGGTTTGTGTACCGGGCAATCCAAGGACCCGGGATGTCAGACAAACGCGCCCGGTGACTGTCGATGACGCATTTGAAGCAAAATGTTGCTGTCAATATGAGTACAGAAACGAGAATGCTCGTCAAATTGATTGATTGTGGGAGTTCCATCATGAAGTCGCAGTGCGTTTAGCCGAAGTCTGTGAATGTTTCGATGCGGGTGTGGTGATGTGAAGACGGGTCAAGGTAAACATATTTTATTTTGTCTTCGACCAGATGTCGGTATGTTCCTTGCCCCTCAATGGTCAGCCGAGGCTCGGGTTCCTAGATCGGGACTTGAACCTACCTTAGACCAAGGTGGCCTCTGCCGTTAGCGACGGGCGGGATACGAACGAGCCTGACTGCCGTCTTGGCTTCTCTATGCGTGACTGCCACCCATGACAATGGGGTCCTCTGATCAACAACCGGGTTGATGTGACACGCTAGTCATATACTCCCAGCTCGAATTCAGTCTCGGGGACTACATTTGGGAAAGCGTTGTTCATTCCTAGTGAGCCGTAGATACTTTCGCCACCTACGACGCCTGCATTCATCAATATCTTCTTTCAGTATTCTGACGGAGATACTCCTTCGGAAAGACTCTCTTCACGGCAATCTAGACGGTGTCCGCTTTGCGCGATTTAGTTGAAATTCTTCACATGCTTGAGCCGTTTGTATGCCCCAATTTCGCGAAGTATCGAGCATATGGGGATGCCTCCAAATTGGGCAGTAAGCTTCGGTCGACTAAGTCGAGAAGATATATGCGCAATTTACCAGGAATTAGATGATGCTGAACAAATGTAACTTATTATACTTCCGTAAACCCTCGGTCTGGCCGTCTCTGATGCTTCTCTGACTCTACAAAAGCCGTGTCTCTTGCTGATTGCGTCAGTGTACCGAACATTCTCACCTCCAGCTCATCTTCGCTTTGCCGTTGACATCACGCTCGCTATTAATACTGTTGACGCCTTCTTCGGAAATATCTCTCCACCACCATGCAACTGAATAGCCTTCTCGTCACGACTGCTCTGTCCTTCGGCATGGTAAGTATCGTCCATGAGCCCTATCACAGGCTTGACGACGGACTAACGACAGCATAGGCCTATGCATATGGTGTCGGGAACCCCGGCAGCACATGCACACAGGGTGGATTCCACTGCAACCCTTACGAGAAGCCCAATGGTGTTACCTATCAGAACGCCTGGTGTCCTAGCCAGTGCGACCCACGAGACGGAAGGAAGGACCCCAAGGGTTGCAACTGGGCGACTTGCGACAAGCAGACCCCGAATCCGAACAACTAAAGGGACATAGGGACATTTTACACTGGGCTTTTGGAATGAAATGCTGTGTACTTGTACGCTGGCTAGAATTCTATTTACGTACGGAGTGCGTGTCTCGAGCTCCCCATCGGTTCTGCAAGCCATCCTTTCATCTGCCACCCAGGCGGAGCTTTGTTCGAACCAGTCTCAAAAGACCCCTTTTCTTGCTTGATACCTTCGACTGTGCCCTTTGTTAGACATGTCTCTGCTAAGGACTGGTGAGCGTTGTCGAGAGAGAGTTTCACACAAGGTGGGGTTTAACCGGTGCATGGCGCAAATACCTACCCGCTTTAGGAATGTTTAGCCCACGGTCCACCGAGTAGGTTTAGTGTAAGAGCAACGACCAGAGGTAAATTGTGTAGGGCATCGGCTTGGGTTCAGATGTGATCATTATATTCTCTTGTGGCATGAATGCTCATCTCGCTTCTTCAACATGAAAATGCTTTCTGATGTACGAACCAGGGACCTCAGGCTTAGCTGACGGGCCAAGACGAGGCTTGCTGAACCATGCCACATTTAAACGAACCTCTTGTATATCGAGTATGCTATCCTACCATACTTGCAGCGGTGACTAGTCTGAAAAGAATTCAACCACTCATTCCTTGCAAGGCCTGCTTCTGGATGCACTTTCTGCCAAGTGGCACTGCGGGCAGGCACAGCATTCTGCCCCACGTAGAACGTCTTTATGTAGCCGTGGGCGTGGCCGGTGACTAGAAGGCGTCCAAATAGCCTCGTCACGGGTTGTACAGAAGATCGCAGCCTGGGGCCGATCCATACGACTCAATGTTCGGCCTCGCGCCAGCTGTGATGCATGCCTGAGCGCAGGAATTGCCCTACGACAACCCGGATGTCAGCCAGAATGCTTACGTACGATACATCAATTGGTGCTCTCTTGAGGTGACGTTTATACCTGTGACGACTAGTTGAGTAAGGTAAGCACCAAGCTTTGCCGCTTCACAAAGTAGGGTTAGGGTGCTGCGAGACCACACCCAAAGACCACGGCTGCTGCCCTGTCGCTATCGCACGGAGTCTTCAGAGACCGAGACTTCAATTCGATGCGAACCTGGGAGGTAAATTCGCTGGATAGTGAGCATGACCGATACTTCATCATTCACGCTATCGATACGAGGTCCATCATCACTTGAGCACCGGCTTAGTCGAGTGTTCTGATCAATCACCGGCTACATGTTTCTGGTCAGGATGGATGAGATGCTCAGCACGTAGTCATATCGTGGATTCCCGCCAACTGATCCGTCACCAGGGACGGCACTCGAGACTGTTTTTTCTAGACGGTACGCGAACTCCATTGTCCAAATCGCCTATCGTTTGATCCTCTCCGTCGACCACCACGAGAGGTCCGTATGAAAATCTGGCTTTGGGAACAACGCTGCGTTCCAGCAGGCCAAGTCAAGAGAAAATCGTTGACAGGGGGGGAAATGAATCAGAATAATTCTTCACAGCAAAGCGATCTTACTAGAATAAACACAACTTGGTGGCACTATGTGTCAAATTTGTAGTATAAGAAACCTCTCTCGTACACCAACTCAGTCTTCCACGATCAAACAGCATGTCAGAATATCCAATTGTCATACAGCTCCTGCATCGGAACGTGAATGGGCCCATCAGCTAACACACCCACCCGTTGCGCCACAAGCCGGTGCTCGCGCGCAGGGACCGGCTGGGTCTGTCTGCTTGTCCTCCTCCACAGCCGGACGGCGATAAACAACAGTATCATGATGGGGGACAGCCTGAATGCCGAGACCATCAGCCATGGAAGTGTCGCAGTGACCCATTGCGCTAACCTCAGCCACAGGATGATTTGAATGAGGACTGGTAGGAAGTAGAAAAGCCACAGACCAATCACCCCGAATTCCCTTCTCAAAGCAATTATGAACGCGTGGTGTCTCAAAACACTGAGGCCATGACTGACGATGAATATCGTACATGGTAGAACGAAAAGTACGGACGGGCTCAGGAGGTCATGTGGTGTGTGGTTGTTGTAGACGAATTTGACGACCTGATAGTGGATGGCGATGGACGAAAGAATGAAGGTGACCTTGGGGACGAGCCTCAGACGTCTGGGAGGAGGATCCATTTGGTGACTTGGTCTCAAGGGTGTGTATTTGTGTTTTTACTGATGGCTATGTACCTTACAGTTGCTTCCCACGTTTTGGGTCGCGTTCTCTTATACATGTTTGGTTTACCACCGGCTTTGTGACAGTCACGATAGTTCATCTTTGATTAACATACCAATGTTCTGGTAAACTAGAATCAGCGAGAGAAAGCCGTCTGCGAAACCAGTCATCCAAACAATGCACAAAGAAAAGCCTCCCAACGATGGTTCTCCTCGTGCTGCTTTGTACATCACGCACAAACTTGATTTATCTCAAAGCCATAAGAAACGGAACAAAACTACAAATTTTTTGAAGGATTTAAATGAGCAGACCCTCTCTCTTCGGACAAGAGTGTTGTTACGGTCCACCTTTGTGTGGATGACGTTGACTCTCTCACAGCGCTCATGAGCAGGTCAACTCAATCTCCATCGAGTATACATTCAAGTAGGTTACAATACTCCAACACTCGCTTCAAAACTAGTCTCCCCTAGGATATACTTAGCGACATCATCATATCAGATCTTCGTAACATGCTCCAGCCATCCTCCTGCTTTCAACTCACGTGTAGACAGGCTCTGCTCTCTAAGACTTGTACTTCAAACTCGCTCTCAGGCCCCGGTAGCCGGCATCTTGTAGTTCTTTTTCCTATATTAATAGTTTCCATAGCCTGTTCAACACGATTGGCCCGAACATTCGACCTCTGCTGACGGTACGCAGACTGCAACGGCACATTCGCTTGCATCCGCCTCTGTCTATTCCATTGTGATCTCCAAACCACGTTGATCAAAGTGAGACCCAGGTTTTTATTTTAGCTCATAACACTTTGCTCGAGTTCGGTCATAACTTATAAGCGACAGTCTACCTCGCCACAAGAGCCATGGAAACATTCATCTCAAGCACCGCTGTTCTTACCTCAGATCTGTGGTCTAACCAAAAATCTCTGGTGATTGGCGGTACTCGCCCCGTGATTCAACGGACGAATCAACTCTGTCTATTTAATTCACGTCAGGATAGCCCCTTCATATATTATTCGACTAACCTCCCTGCTCGCGGCAGCGGACGCTACCTTGAGGTAGTGTACGCCGGACCAAGGGTTCCGAAAAGACGCCCCGGAGCCGAAGGATCTCACCTCGGCCGACGCATTCGGCTCCGCTAGTGGGGGCTACCGGTAGTGGACTGTCACACGCGCTAGGGTGAAGTGGGCTGCGTGTCGGGGCGTCGGGGGCGTATTCTTTCCCTTGGACCGCCCGAGTTTGCCGATTCTCGGAGATGGGGATGCTGGGAGAACACGGGACGCTGAGGATGTCTCACTTGCATCGCTCCCTTGAAGAATTGGTCACGGGGAAGGTTAGAGCTTTAGCAATGGTGTCACTGGATTCTCCGAGTGGATAAAGGGTTTGATGTATTGAGGTCACTGAAAGGCTTACTAAAGGGACCAAGACTCTTGCAGCTTTTGTTGGATTCACTACGTTTTACATGCAAATACGCTCCACAGGCGCAGCTGACAGCACCAACTCAGATAATGACAACCTAGCCCATACTTCGGGTGACTTTGACCTCACAAACAGCTGCACCCAGAGCATGTATTATAGTTCAAAATATCTCTTCATTATTCGCATCTTTCATGCGAAGCAAGAAAGCGGAGAGTTTCGGTAAACACAAGGTCACCTTTCCTAGACGATACCTCTGTATCTTCCTACAAGATAATAGTCCCCTTTGGCTCGTCCCCTGAATACCCTCTTCAAACGTCCCTATCCAAACAACCCGTAAAACGCCTTGCCTTCTTTGATGATGGAATCATCCCCGTGGTATACATTTCAAAAACAATCGAGTTTCTTCCCCTTTCTTCCCAACGAGTTTCCCCGCCAAGTACCGTAAAAGAACGCCCTTGTAAAATCTTCACCTCAAAGTCGTCAAAACAGTTGTCAACTGCTGGAAAACCTCGCGCCTTTTCCCCCCTTCTTTCCATCTACCCAATGGTCGGTTTTTGTAAACACCCTTCTATGATGCACTCCATCCCTTTCTTTGCTTTTCGTGTTCGATAATGTGCGCAAGGAAAAGACACAACCATCAAGACCAAAAAGGTCCCTCGGCCTGCGCCCGCTGCCACTGCTGCGCCTCCGCAAGCCTCTTCTCCAACGCCTCATTCTCCTTCCACAGCTGCGAGTTCTTCTTCTCCAGGTGCGCAATGTACTCGGTCGCCTTGCTCAGGATCGTCGCCTTGTTCAGCTTGCGCGCGGGCATCAACCCGCCCAGTTCCTCGACGACGTCGATCGGCTCGTCGCTCTCTGCGGCGGCGGCGGCGTGCGGGTTCTCGGTGTGCTGGACGACGCAGCGCAGCGAGGGGACGGCGTCGCGGAGGGCGATGATTTTCTCGTTGATGTTGACGCGGTAGCGCTTTTCAATCATGTTGTGCGGGTTCTTGGAGGGTTCTCCGGAGTGTTTTGTGCGGCGGGCGGGGGGTTCGGGGGAGGCGGAGCGGGAGGAGGCGGAGGAGGCGGAGGATTTGCGCTTGAGGTCGTTGGTGCGCGGGGAGGTTCGCTGTTGTGTTTGTGGTTGTTGCTGTTGCTGTTGGCGTTGCGGCTGTTGTTGTTGAGGGCGGGAGGAGGGTGCGGATGTCGTGCGGGCGAGACGGGGCGACTTTGCGGGCTGCTGGGTTTGAGATTGAGGTTGAGGTTGAGGCTGCGGGCGGGCGGGCGCGTCGAGGGACTGGAAGAGGGGCTGGGTGTCGTTGATGCCCTCGCGGCCGAAAGCGACGGCGTCGGACATGAGGTCGGACGGGTTGGCGCTGGGGCTGAGGGTGAGGTTCTGGGGGGAGAGGAAGGACATTGGGCTGCCAAAGGATTCGCCGTAAAAGACGTCGAGGTCCGGGGAGAGGGCGGGCTTCTCAAAGTAGGCGGGCCAGTCGCCGCCGGTGGGGAGCTGGAAGGAGGAGGTCGGGAAGACGGGGGAGACGGGGGAGCCGCGGGACGGGGCCGAGTCTGCGCTGAAGTCGGCTTGGGTGTCGTAGAAGGAGAGCGGGGAGAGCTCCGGGGGGCTCTGTTGGAGATGCGGTGTTAGTTGGGTGCTGAAGTGTTGGTTGTGCAGATGCGAAAGACTTGATGCCAATTGGTTCAAGTCGTCGTGTGTAAGTCGGGACTGGCAGTGTGGTTTAAAGGGGAGGAAAGAAAAGACTACACACCATTGATTGAGGCATCGGAGGTACTTGATAATAGTCAAAGGTCTGTTGTTGGGCCATGGTGCGATTCATGGAGGGGTAGGTTGACTGGGGTGTGGGAGGTGAGGGGTTTGGATCTGACGATGGACCGGTCTGGAGGAATTGTCGTTGATTGAAGATGCGAGGTGTTGGTGGCGTTACTCGGGAAGTGAGTTGACGAGGGGCCGGTGTTCAGATATGTGTGTGTGTGAGTGCAGGTGTGTCGAGATGCCGATGGCGAGAGAAGACGATATTGGTAAGGTACGATACGAAGTAAGGTATGATGTTACTTTAGATGAGGCTGATGGTTCGAGAGTGGACAGGTGGGGAGACAACAAGACGGACGGCAAAGCTATATACTAGAAGGCGATTGAAAAAAAAGACGTGGTGAAGCATGGGTGCTGCGTAGGCGTAAAGAGAGTCAATGGCCAAGAAAATCGGCCATGAGCCAGGGTTGAGGTCCGAATGCTGGGATGCGGGTAGGGTGGACCTGGAGGGATGGATCATTGGGGGGCGTGATGGTAAGGCGGGCGCGGGTTGGAACGGCGAGCAAAACTGGCGATGGACGGGCTCGTCATACGAGCACGGGGTGGTTGACCAAAGGAAATGTGACCAAAGTACTCGACTCTGTACTCTGTAGACTCGACAATACTGCGTAGAGTGAATGGTACGGGCGGACGGATCCGACGGTGGGAAAGACTGATGATTGACATGAGAGGTGCTGTGGGGAGTCTCTTTGACACATGCACCAAGGCGGGTCCATCTACAGGGTACAGTATACTTCTCTTCTCCTTCACCATGCACCGATTCTCTCAGTCGGAGTCTCGCAGTGAGTGTCGAAGGAACAGAGAGCAGGGATGAGGGAATAGGGCCATCTCGACGCCGGGAACAGCTCGGTGCGGGTGCAGTGATGCAGTGCAGGCGCGGGTTCATATCCGGCTTCCCAACGGCCTCTCTACTACTGCTGTGTACCTATGCAGCACCAACAGTCAGTACCTATGTCAGGGCCGACAGGGAACTTTGCTCTCTCTCTTCTCACTCTCTTCGACACTACTGTGTGCTGCATATCAGGGCGTTGTATGCAAGACCTACATGAATCTATACACGGGTAGGTAGTCCATAAACACAGCGGTCCTCTGCAGAAATGTTCACAGTCTGTCCTGTCAAACCCGCAAAACGAAACAAAGATGATAATTACCTATGGTATTAAACCTCGGAATTGGTTGAGAGGGAGGTTCAGCAAGAGGTACTCGCTACTTGCTGCTGCTGCTGCCACGCCTAATTCCAGACCAAGCTAGGCGGGAAAAAGCAAAAGAGCGGCTGACAAGGTCCAGGGGGGTGGGTGCCCGAGACCCGGGGGGCGTGTGCTGTGTGCTGTGTATTACCGTACCTTAGGTACATACTATACCTAGGTAAGGTACGTAGTAATGTCAAATCCCGGAAGGGGGAAAACAGTCAACACACGACGAGATGGAAAGAGAATAGAACGATGGAGGGGCATCTCGGGACCTTGGCGGCACTTGCCTAACCTGCCTGCTATGGAGTTACAAGGTACTGCGAGATTGAGGGGAGGAAACGGTTTCCATGAGGCCATTGGGGGGCCATTGGGGGGCGCATCTCATCGGAAGCGAGCGCGCCTTTTTTTTGTGTGTCCCTTCATCGCGATCTGGTATGTCTTTGACCAGGGCACCCGTCATCATCTTGCATGCAACCTGACGATATGTTTGCGGTTCAACTCTTTTGGCGATTCATCCAAAGCAAACCCAAAGAGAGAAAACACAAAAAAAAAACCTGGAAAGTCGGATATCTCAACCTTGGTTGTGGTCCCGAACGTGCCTTCAATCTCGTGCGATGGATGTGGGAATGCATCTGAATCAGGGACCCCCTCCCCGTGGCCCCCGGCCTCCCCAGAAGAACCCAAGCCTGTCACACAATGCGCCCAACACTCAAAACCTCAAAGAGCCATGGGCGCAAAACCAAGATCTCGTCCATCTTGACCGAGATGGGGAGGAGCTAAGACCTTGCGGTAGGAAGGGGGGCGTGTGAGACCTGCGAGGTGTCGAGTCGTGAAGCTGCTCGAGTTCAAACTTGGACGTCTGGCATTACCTAATTGGACGTAAACGGCGCATGGGGCCGGTCCAGACTGACAGATTGGATGGAAAAGGTAAATCCTGTTGGAGCTCTTGAGGATATTCACATACCATTATCGTGTACGTGTATCCAGGCAAAGCAGGTAGGCAGCTAGGGATGTTATTTTCCTGACGTGCATAACGACACCCTGGACAGTGCTGCTCCGTACACTGGTGGGATCATGGCTGACGTCGTTGCTCGCTGTCTTGTCGACGATCAAGACAGGACCTCGGGGTCTGTCACTACATCGTAGAGGAGAGTCTGTTGAAGCTGTCAGTGGTCATCCTGGCGGCCGTTGCGTCTCGTTCCTGTTCCTGTGGGTGACCGTTTGACAGGTGGCCCGCGGCAGGCAGAAGGCGATCGAGATCTCCAGGGTCCCTCCCACCCACACTGAGACTTCCCCCTATGGCACTAACAGCCCGACACCTAATGTAGGTGTCCATACGAATAGGTACGCAGGTAGTGGCAGGTAGCTAGATTCCACTTCCCTGGCATACCGTGTCGCCGGTCTCGTCAGCCCTCGAACAAGGAGGGGGAAGGAGAAGGATTCGAAGCATTTGTCGGGCGCATCGCCATGCCTCGAGGCGTGCCGGGCCACTCGACCCAAGAGGCAAGAGACATGTCGATGATTTGCGCCGTGCTGGCGGTCATGTCCCTCCCGAGTCCCCAGTCGTTCCGAGTGGTCGGCTTCTGATGCTGCCGAGCACTCCAGCACTGATTGCGGCTGCCAGTATTCTTCACTCGGAATGAGCAAGATACTTTACCTAGGTACCCAGCTAAGGTAGATACTCTCACTGCCCGGATACTATTGGGCCAGGCAAGAAAAATCAAGAGTTGGTAGTTGGCAGAGCTGGGAGAGCAGCGGACGTTTGCGATCGAGGTGTTGCTCAGTCAAGGCCCGAGGATGCCGAGTCACGGAGCCGAAGCGTACAGGATTCGCGTCCAGGGCGTTGGGTGTCCTGGGAACAGCAAGGGCCCGCCGGTCTCCGGCAACGGTAATTCAGGTCTGACGGATGACGGCGGTGGTCATGGAACGAGTCATCCGTAATCGCTTCGCACTGCCTCGCATCGCACGCATCGCCGGAACTCGACGCAAAATGGCACGGCAGACAGCAACACGAGTAAGTAGACCAATGGAGAGATTGATAATATTGAAGGGCCTGGAAAGAGTGCCAAGTTCGCTAAGGCTGAGTCTGACGGGTTCCTTGATTGTGGGATGGCACGTTGGAGGTCTATGGAGCGCATAATGGGCGCATGGCGGGACATGAAGGGGCAGCGATGCGCCGATGCAGCAGCGTCGAGTGTTGGTTCCAAGGTTGAGAGATGAAGTGTCGATATGATGGATGATGGGAGATGGACCCGCAGCGTATGGTGGATGGTGTATTGGACTGTTGAATCGTTGATGATGGTATACTCCGTAAGCTGTAGGTCTGTGATTGTTGCTGTTTGGTGATGGTTGGTGGTGAGAAGGGAGGAAGGGAGGGGTGTACCTTGGGAAGAGGGGGGTGCGATGAATGCTGTGTGGTGGAGGCAGGTGGTCTGATTTTCGTGCAGTGTCGAACGTCGCTGCCAAAATTGACAAACAGCCCATACGCCGGGGGAATCGAACGAGGCAGGAACCAGCCCCAGGGCAGGGGAGGACCCGCTCGGCCCAGACCGGAGCCAATGGGACGAGCGGCGTGCGCACGAGTAGTCATCAAGTACCGTCACCGCAGCAATTGTATGGTGGAATACATGGCCAAGGTCCTCCCGACTGTTCCCGTGCTGCTGTTGAATTTTCAAAGTGGCCGTCTTCTCGTAACATTTTCATCTTTGATTCTAACAACGACATCTCATCCAATCTCCAATCTCTCTCTGTTCCTGGTCCTTGTCTGTTTCCTCTTTTTTTTTTTTTTTTTTCCCTCCCTTTCTTTTTCTGTTCTTAATTTATCCGAACCGAGCAGGTCAGCAGCAAGTCACTTCTGGGCCTGTCGGTGACGGCATCCCAGTGGATACCATCTTCCATGGATCATCATTGATCATGGGGGGTTGACATGTGCAAGCGCGAATGCCACGGAAAGCTTGCGACAATAACACTTTGCAAGGCGCTGAAGCTCCTCGCTCTGGTATTGATAGTGTCACTACTGTTTGTTTGGCTGACAACCATCTCTGCCCAAACAAGATGTCATATCAACAACACTCACGCTCACACTCACTTGTACAGCAAGCATCGCATACACTCCAACACAGTCGACAGCGCTGATCGCCGCTACGGATCGCCCTGTTCCCTGCATTCCCGCGCATCCTACGGTGCCTACCTGCTCGCTTCTCCTCACTTACACGCACAGCTCTCCAGCTTTCGTCCACCATGAAACCCCCCCATTTCGCGGGCCTAGCCACCGTCTGCACATCATGCCGCACTCTCTCCCTTTTTGTGTAGCACCTCTCTACCAGAGGGAATACAACGTCAAAACTCACAATTCACTTGTAACTTGAGAGGCAGTGACAGCAACTACAACGGGCAGCATCTGCAAACCGAGTGACGTCTAGACCACTGGCCAAGTCCTATTTCACGCAGCTCCTCCCAAGTCCTCCCTCCAACCCTCCCGACTCACTGCTTTGCGACCTGCGGCTTGCGGCTTGCCTGCCGCTTCGAGGACACTTTGCTGTTGATCCGAATTGATTCAAATAGATTCAATACATGCAACCAACGGGTACATTGCAGACCTCCGACCGCGAGACACATTTGCGCCATGCGGACCAACGGATCGCATTTGGATTGTGTCGTCCTGCCATCGGCCGTCAACCAGCCGCCGCCCCCCTTTCCGCCCGGGCTTCAACCGCATCCAGATCCCGATAATTCCACTCGCCGTCTACACTAACGGAACCTGGACCCTCGGGAATACAATTTTCGCTGTGTCTCGCCTTTTCTTTCTACTTGCGTAAAGGACAAGAAATTGTGCGGTCCGGTGGTCCCGGTTCACCCTCCACCGTTCGCCGATTGAGAAATACCAAGAGCCCGAAAAGAGCACCAGCATTTTCCGTGTTCGGCGAATCACTTACCCAAAGCTGCAACGACGGTTGACATTGACGTTTGACCACACGACAGCCCGCCCCTCCGAAAAAGAAACAAAAAAGAATAGAATAAGCAAGGAATCGGCGCGCAGACTCTTCTCCTTCCCCAAGACACGACCTGCACATCACGGCGGCCGGCGCAACGCACTCGCGGAGGGCCTCCCGGGCGGTCTACCTGCAGGATCTGTGCTGTGCTCTGCTTCTGAGTAGCAAACGCGCATATCAGTATCCCGTACGGAGTACTTCGTCCATGACAACCCAACCATACACTACGTGACTACCTACCCTGCTGCCTTAGTTTGAGGAGCTGAGGTGGTAGGAAGAGGACCCTGCAGCTCTTGTCCTCCGAGAAGCTAAACCTCTCTCGGAGTCTTGAGAGGGAATAAGGCGGGGGTTACCTTGAGCGGACAATTTTTGCAGTTTGAGTTGGCTACTGGCGGGCTACAGAGTAGCAGAGGCAGACTTTCAACTTGCGCGCAACTATCCGTACAGAGGCAGAGTGTGGTTCGCATGGTCTCGGTTCGTCCCTTTTGCAGGAATATTGCTTTTTCCTCCTCCTTTTCCTCTCCTCTTGTTCCTCCTCCCCTGTCAACACCCAGTCACAAGCACATGCTTTCCAACGGCGCGAATGTGACGGGCTGTTTGTATCCGCATCTTGCTGGAAGTTTGCTCTCCCCTCCAGGGGCCCTCCACAATGTTTGCCTGTCAATTTGACGTCCTCGCATCCCCTCCTAGGGCCCTAACGTCGCTTACCGTGGAGAACTTTGATGTGGCGATGAGAGGGGGGCTAGCACTCCACGTCGGTCTGCAGGACGTGCAGCTCGCGCACATTGGCACGTTGTTGGCGCGCAGGCACGACAAACTTGCAACGGTTTGTGACGAGTCAAGACATGCATGCCTTTTTCGTTTCGTTGTGTCTTGTTCTATTTTGCACGGTCATGTCTATGAATTGTGACATGGATTCTCGGCTGCGCAAGGTGCCCTAGTTGAGCGCGACTTGGACGGCCGTGACTGTGTTGAATGTCGTGACATATCGATATGGAATAGAGGCAATGAGTCTGGGATGCTCACTCCTCGCCGGTTGATTGTCTCTTGGCGTGGTTTCTGCCGCATCTTGACTGGAGTGACTATCGACATACTCTGACCCCCAAGGGACTCACGATGAAGTTCGACACAGTCAGAAGTTACGAGGCGCAGGGCATATATCAACCCTGAGATGGCGACGACCATCAATACCTGCTATGCCATCATCACCAGAAAGAACTCACCATTGGAGGAACGTTTCTATAACAGAAACACTACTCGCTGCACCCAGATAACAAGCCCAACATGTCCTCTAATAACCCCAACCCAGACCGCCGTCCAGCGCCCACCCACCTCCCTGCCACCCTCACAGAGACGAACCCGTTCTACATCGACATGAGCCAAGGTACGCACCGCAAGGCCCTCCCACCCTTCACCTCCACCCTCACCCGCCGAAACACACTTCCTCGCACCTCAGCAGAGATCCTCGCAGAGCTACAAGTCGAACGAGATAACCGTCCCGCAGAACACGTCGCTTCCCGCCCATCAACACCAACCCCCTCCCGCGCCCCACGAACACCCAAGACACCTTCACCACGTAGCAGCAGCAGCAGCAGCAGCAGCAGCCCCTCCCAAGACTTCAAAACTCCAGAAAGTAATCACATCGCACCCCGCACGCGCACCATCCTACCCCCAACCTCCGCAGTCACCTCCTCAGCCTCCTCACACCGCAGCATCGACATGGACGGCGACATCCACATGAAGAACACGACCCCAGAAACCCACCCTCACGCCGCCATCCTCGCCCTCGTAACGCAAACCGTCACCGAGACCTTCTCCCTCGAACGCGCTCGACTGGTAGACGAGATACGCAGACAGGTCCTCACTGCCCTAGAACGACAGATCGGACCGCTTGTGAGGGAGAACTTTGAGGCTGCGTTGGCGGAGGCGTTAGAGGAGCCGTTTGAGGAGGCGGAGGGCGGAAGGAAGAGGGAGGTTGCTGTTGTTAGGGTTGTCAGGGAGCGGTTGAGGGGGTTGAGTTGCGATGGGCTCGTCGAGGTGTTTTGTAATGAGGAGGTTTTGGGGGTGCTTAGGAGGCTGGTTGGGGTTGTTGAGGCGGAGGTTTTGATGCAGGGGTGGGATGTTGTTGGGTAGGGTGGTATAAGGTAGGTTGAGGTTGTGGCTTGGGGATAAGGGATGTGAAAATGGAATGTCGTGGCGATGATGGTTGGTGGTGATGAAGAGTCTAGATACTAGTAGTCAAGTTGTCCATGAGTTTATGTTGTTGCGTGCTCGACACTTGAGGTGAGGTTCCTGAAGTTGCGAGTTCACCGTGGATCTTGCTACTCATTACTTGAGATCTCGTATCGGGAATCCTCTAGTCCTTCGATAGCCCTGTGGCAAAGTTTAGACATTAAAGCATCCGAATGCTTCGCTCGTACAAGATTTGAGAGTTACAAGTCAGCTCTCTGGCTGAATTGGTGATTGGCATCAACCTCGATGCGATTTAACTGTCGTGGGAGACGACTCTCAGGGCAAACGATAGAGTAGGTAACACAGCTTGTACAGCTACCACGGTGCGAGTGCCTTGGGCATGTCATATGCCATCGACATGATAGACTGGTGTCAGTGAGAGTAGGCATACCAAAAGGCTACGGGCGTAGTTAAGGGGAAGATCATCGGCCAGAGGGATTGACGGCAGTCATTGTAAGTCTCTCTTTCGCGGCAGACTCACTCCCTCTCTATCAATCACATGAGACGAGGCATTGATACAATTACAGGCATAGAAAGATTACCAAAGGCAACTTTTGTAGCATTGGTCAGTTCAATGCTTCCATGCAGTTGCTGCTTTATTTCCTTGCTTCGAGGCCACGTCCCTTCAAGAAAAGGGAGGTGTATTACAAATGGTTTGCATATAGCTAAGTAGTGTTCTATGCTCTCATCAGCGAGCTTGGGCAATGTAAATAGACTTTATCCCGAACCTCGGTGCTTGGTTCATGTTTCGTTTCTATCTTGGTCCACCATGGTTGACGGCAGCTTCTCAGGCGAGCAGGAGAGATGGCCACGGTTAAATTTAAAGAAGAATGTAAATTCAGTGTATATGAAGTCTCTGTAAAGACTGACTGCGGAACATCATTGCTGAGTTGTTTGTCATCTCCTCCCTCGCTTTCCCTTGTAGATTCTTAATCATATTTGTTGATCACTTAGCTCTTGAGAATCAACTAACGCTAGTTACATGTACTACAAATATTCCGAGACCCAGCGTCTCACTGAAGATCCCAATCTTTCCACCAGAGACAGATCGGATGTATTTAAGTCTAAGCAATTTTGTTGTTGAGGCTGCCAGTTCATGTTGTTTATCCTCATTATTCTCGATACAAGGTGAGGTCTTTGAGGCTGATATTCCACAGCGTAAGACGAGGCTTGATCCCGGAGCTGTCAGGACGCTAAAACAGCTCTATCTTTAGTGGTGGCAGGGAGAGCTCGGACCCACTGTTTCCTCCTTCAGCGCCCGGGGACAGCTGTTTGCTGGTGCCCTGCGAGGCTGCGTCATAACCTAACAGCTGTCCAACTGCCTGGGGTGGGCACCAGACCTAATGGAAGGTGGACCGTTTGTGTCGCGAAAGCTCCTCCCCTCCCGAGCCATCACCACCTCAGCCTCTCGACTCCCCCGATCCCGCACCTCTTCCCGCCGACCACAGCTGCCACGAGGACCACACATACGGCGCTGCTCGTCCGATCTCTCACTGCGCATAGCATTGCATTCGCCGTGATTCACCATTTTCCATTATATCTCATCTTTTGCGCTTCTCTCCTGTCTTTTCTGCCACGGTCCCTCGAATTGGGCCATGCCGCTTTGAGCACGGCACGTGTCCGCATCATCTTTCGCCATGGTCTCCTTCTGGCCCTGGAGGGTACGTCTGCCACGGCTTTCGTCTTCCCCTCTATATGCGCATAATGCGTATTCTCCAAAAGACGGAATCAATCGCTGACTTACCAACTCACAGCGTGACGACTCCTCCCCCGCCTCCTTCGAGAAGACCCTTTCTGCGCTGTCTACCAAGATCACAGACACCCAAGCGAGACTCGATGGCGCGCGAGCCACCTCCCGTCGCATCAGAGTGCTCTGGTCCTTGTACCTCGCCTTTGCCTACCTCGTCTACTCCATCGTCATTTTCCTCGTCGTAGGATGGAACGACATGGGCGCCTCAGAATGGACTGGCGTCGCTGGAGGCCCTCTCCTGTACGTTGTTCTTCTGCTTCTCTAACGGATTAATTTGTCTGCGCAAACATGGGATACTAATCGTGCTCTCAGCATCTACCTCACGCGAACAACCGTCACGGCCGTCTTCAACTACCGCATCGATTCCCTATCTGCTCGCCTCAAGGAGCAGCAGGCCGAGCGCGCAAAGACGATCCAGAAGCTCAAGGACGCCACAAAGTACAACTCCACCCTGGAGCTCCTCGAGAAGTACGGAGGCGACGAAGGCAAGGGCAAGAACAAGAAGCAGAACGCGGGAGAAGATGACAAGAAGCCGCGACAGCAGCAGCAGGGCGGCAGGCAACACGAAGGCGCCGCTCCTGGAGGCCGGACGAACATGGCACCCCCTCCTACCGCCAACATTCAACGCCGCGACGGTCCCCCTCCTGGCTTCCAAGCCGGACGTCCCCCACAGCAGCCGCCCAACGGCCTCGAACCCACGGAAGAATTCGCGCCAAACGCCTACGCCCACCCGCCTCCACCGCCCCCTCAGTCGCAACAATTCGCGCAAGCCGAGGGTCTGCCCGGCTCGTCGCACTGGTACGACCGCATCATGGACCTCCTCCTCGGCGAGGACGAGACGGCGTCCAAGAACAGGATCGCCCTCATTTGCAAAACTTGCAGGCTGGTCAACGGGCAGGCCCCACCGGGCACAAAGGCCCTCTCAGACATCGGCACGTGGAAGTGCATGGGCTGCGGGGCCACGAACGGCGAGATGGAGGAGGGAAAACGCATCATGCAGGAGGTGCTCGGCTCGTCGCGGGCGGGTGATGTTCCCACGGGCGAGGAGTTTAAGGAGTCTGATGAGGAGGTCCCTATCAAGGAGGAGGAGGATTCTGATGACCTGGTTGCCGGCGCGAGAACGACGAGACGACAGGGTGGGTCGGCGGCGGCGAAGAAGCGGAAGGGCAAGGGTGGCAAGTGAGTATAAACGAAAAACACGGGATGTGGTGATGGGGAACCGCTGCGCTGGCTAGCTACAGCCGATTATTTCATACCATAATTGCAGCGTATAAAATAGAAAATACATCGACAGAGTTTCATTATTGTGCTGTGTAAATCATGGAGACACTTACGCGTTAATGTCCACATGCGTTCCGGGACTCGGGGGCTTGAAGACGGGATGCACCGCAATACCGCTGCACCGCAGCACCGGTGGATCGGAGGACCGAATGTGGCTAGTGCTGAGGCTGAACGCTAAAGGGAGCAGAGGTCCCCACACCCGCAACGCAACGCAACGCACCTCGGTGACCCTGGAACAGCTGCTGCAGGCTGAGCGGCGCCTCACTCAGCTACTACCGAAGGTAAGGTAAGGTAAGGTGAGGAAAGGACACTTGTGAATTCAAACCCGCCGCATCCCATGTACGAAGGGTCCCTTGGATGAAATTCCTCCCCGTCCACCATCCGTACACGCACACACACCATTCGCATCCTCTCGTCCCAAGAAACCTCTCCAAAAGACCAGCGCCGGCCCAAACGTTCCTTTTCTCCCTCTCCCTTTCTCCACGTAGTGCTTGCGCCACCAATAATGCAGCGCCCTTCGATCCTCGACATCGACCATTGCGCATAGCTCTCTCTCAGACTTTGAGCCACTTTTACCATTTACCTTCCCTGCTGCACCTCCGAACTGTAAACGACACACCCAGAGAGGGATATTCCATGGTCACAGGGTAATCCCATCATCCCTAGATCGGCAACATGTTCCAGGTTCGTCTCTGCTTTTCCTCTCCAAACCCTCTTACTCTCCTTCCACAGACCCTCTTCCCCGGGACAAGAAAACCTTGATCTAGACCTACACGTGGTGGTTTCGGCTACCCATTCTCCGTTTCTGCATTCCCGTGTTCCACCCCTTCACATCGCCGAACCTGTCCCCGCTGACAATGATGGGAATTCAACAGAGGCTCAAGGGCGCCATCGATCGGACAATCGCGGAGGAACAGGCTCGACAGGAGCAAGCACGACAGCGCATCGAACCAGGAGGAGGCACAGGCACAGGCACCCCGCGCAGGTCCGACTCCACCTCACGGAGCAACCAGTCGCCCGCCCGACGACCCCGTCCCAAGAAAGCGGCAGCCGACGCCGGCGCGAAGGACGACGGCGGAAGCCCCTCGAACCCGGACCCTGCTGTCTTTGAGGCGGCGTTTGCGCTTGACGATAGCGAGGAGCCGAGTCGTGTAGGAACACCGAAGCCTGTTGCGGATAAGGACGGCAATATGGAGAAGAGCGAGGAGAACGTCAAGGATAAGGCGGAGGAGGGTCAGAACGGGGACAAGGAGCAGGAGAAGGGTGCTGAAGGCGCTGCTCCTGCTGCTGCTGCTGCGCCGCCGGCTGCTGCGGCGGAGATGTCTCCCGAGGTCAAGATGAAGCTTCGCAAGTTGGAGAAGCTGGAGAAGACGTACCCTGGTGCGTATACCACTCGCACGCGCATACACAAATCACTGTATTCCTGTGATATGGACATCGGAACGCTAACACGAAGGTGCAGAACTCCTCCGATCCTATAGAATCGCCCACGGCCGCGCCACCTCCATCGAGCCTTTTGAGCGTGTGCTTAAGGAACACACCAGCGTCGGTTCAATCCGGGAACCCGAGGCCCTCGTCGAGTATCTCAACTCCTTGAAGCAGAAGGAGCAGATGATTATGGACGAGTACAAGCGGGTGTCGATCGAAAAGGACGACTTCAAGAAGAAGTGCGAAGCCGCCGAGAAGGATGTGGAGAAGTTCAAGAAGGAGGTAGAGGAGCTCAAAGCGGCGCAGGCTGCGGCACCTGCAACTGCCCCTCAGGCGGAAGAGGCCAAGGACAAGGTGGACGCCGCGACGGATACAAAAGACGACGGCTCCGTCAAGTCACCTGATGCATCCGCTGTCAAGTCTCCTCTGCAGCAGGCTCTCGGCATCTTCTCTCCCAAGCAAAAGGCGCAGGAGCCTGGGGCGGAGAAGCCCGACGAGGCTGCGGGCGACTTCTTCTCCTACGACGAGGAGGCGCCCAAGTACGAATCCGACATGGCGGCCAAGGACGAGGAGATTGAGAAGCTCAAGGCGCAGGTTGAGACCGTCAAGGCGGAGCTCAAGACTGAGGTCGACTCGCTCAAGGCCGAGCTCGCTGCCGCTAAGGAATCCAGTGCCGATCTGACGGAGAATCTTGACAAGGTGACCAAGGAGGCTGGTGAGCTGCGTGACGTTGCTGCCGTCAAGACTTCTCTGGAGACGCAGCTTGAGGCAAGGAACAACGAGATCAAGTCTCTTACTGAACGTCTGGAAGCCTCGCAGAAGCAGCTCAAGGAGGTCGAGGCCAAGCTCAAGGGTGAAGTCGAGTCTGCCAAGAAGAACGCAAAGGAGGCACAGTCGAAACTCACACAGTCCAGCGCACGCGCAGACAAGGAGGAAGCTCGCGTCAAGGAGGTGGAGGCCGCCAAGACGGACGTGGAGAAGAACATCAAGACTCTCAACGGCCAGATTGAGACCCTGAAGAAGGAGAAGGCTGACAACGAGAAGAAGATCGACGACCTTACTAAGCAGCTTGAGAAGCAGGCGAGCGAATCCGTACCCCCTACCCCTACAACAACTGGGCCGACCGAGACGCCCGCGGCTGGAGGTGCTGCCGGTACTTCAAAGAACGCCAAGAAGAACAAGAAGAAGAAGGGCAAGGGCGGTGCTGCTGCCGCCACCGCTGCGACGCCTGCCACGCCCACGACGACCGCAGGAACCGCGACACTGCCCGCAGCCGAGGAGGCCAAGGATGTTGACACGGATGCTCTGGAAGCGGAGATTACCCGTCTCAAGGAGGAAGTCACCACCAAAGATTCCCAGATTGAGAGGTTGACGAAGCAGCGCAAGACCGAGGAGGATCTTCGCGAGGAAATCGAGACGCTGCGTGACGAGGTCACCGAGATTGGCCAGGAGCACGTTGTGGCCAAGGAGAAGATCAAGAACCTCGAGGCCGAGAAGAAGGCTCTGCAGACGCGGATCGAGGAGCTTGAGAAGGAGCTTGGGTCTTCGGCAAACGACGCCAAGGCGACGGAGAAGCTCCAGAGCGAGTTCGACAACCTCCAGCGCGAGTACGAGGATCTCAAGAGCAAGTCGTCGACGTTGCAGTCAGACCTCGGCGCCGCGCAACAGCTGGCGCAGAGCAGGTACAAAGATCTCACCGACCTGCGCGAAGTGCTGCAAAAGGCGCAGCCTGAGATGAAGAGCTTGCGTCAAGATTCTGCTGCTCTCAAGACGACCAAGGAGGAGCTTGCCGCGAAGAATGCGGAGTTGCGTAACCTCGAGAAGAAGGAGAAGGATCTCAAGGCGGAAGTGACGAGGGCGCAACGCCTGGCGTCGGACCGCGAGACCGAGATCAAGGCGCTCCGCGGCAAGGTTGAGGCCGAGACGAACAACAAGCTCCGTCTTGAGGATGCCCAACGGGTGTCTGCACGCGACTTGCGTCGCTCCGAGGCCGAAAAGGTCGAGCTCGCCGCCAAGGAAGAGAAGACGGCCCGAGAGCTCCAGCGGGTGCAGGAAGACGCCAACAAACTCCGGCCCAAGGTCAAGGAGCTCGAAGAGCAAATCGAGAAGCTCGAAAAGGAGAAGAAGTCTCTTCAGGAGGAGGCGGATCTCAAGACGCAGCAGTATTCCAACGCGCAGGGTCTACTGGGCAGCATGCGCGACCAGACGGGCGAGCTGACGACCCAGCTCAAGGAAGCGCGGTCGCAGTCCGAGTCGCTCGAGGAGGAGCTGGCCGAGATCCAGAAGCATCTTTCGGAGCGATCGCGCGAGGCGGAGCGGATGCGTGGACTCCTTGCTGATGTTGACGAGCGCGCCGATAGTAAAGTGCGGGAAATGCGGGCGCGGATGGAGGCTGCCATTGAGGAGCGGGACCGGATGGAGGACGAGTCCAGCACGCTCGCGCGTCGCAAGACGAGGGAGACGGAGGAGCTGAAGCAGAAGATTCGCGACCTGGAGCGGGATATCAAGACGCTTTCGACGGAGAAGGAGGAGCTGGAGAGCCGGGAGAAGGAGTGGAGGCGGAGACGGGAAGAGCTCGAGTCCGTGGAGGAGAAGGCCGAGGCGGAAGTCAAGGAGATGCGGTCTGCTGTTTCGGATCTGCGGACGACGCTGGACGCGTCGGAGCAGCAGGTTCGGGATGCCGAGAGGCAAAAATCTGATTTGAGGAGGTTGCTTGAGGAGTCGAAGCAGAGGTTTGACAAGGTGAATAAGGAGCTCAAGACGGTGCAGACCAAGCTCGGGGCGAGTGTCACGAGTGGCCGGAGTTCAATGGACTCGAACCGGTCTGGGTTGAATGGTGGGCCGGCGGCGGCTGGAGGTGCGGGAGGGTCTGCGGATACGTTGTATCTCAAGACAATTATGTTGCAGTTTTTGGAGCAGAAGGATAATAAGTTGCGGGAGCAGCTTGTGCCTGTCTTGGGAAGGATTCTCAAGTTTGACAAGTAAGTTTTGGTCTCTTTGATGTGGAGGTGATGAATAGTTTTTGCTAACGTGGGATTTACAGGAGCGATGAGCAGAAGTGGAAGAGTGCTATTCAGCACATCACTGTGAGGTGAGGATAAAACGGGAGTGATTGTATTAGTTTTTGTATGAATAAATACCCAGGATGGCTTGTTCCTATGCACATGATGGTTAGGGGATTTCTACGTGCCGTCAGTGTGATGTGTCTTTGTCGGTGGTGTTTTGCTGTGATTGAGTTGAGGCTCAATGCAAGATAAGGCAAGGTGAGGAAAGCAAGGTGAGCAAGGTGAGGTGAGGTGTGCTCGGTGTGGCTTGTAAGTTGGGCCAGTCTAGATTGTCAAACTGGTAGGGCACTCGGCTTACATCATGAAATATGCCCCACCATAGCTCCAGTTCCCCCGCGCCCGGAGCTCTCGCCGGATCTTTCCCTCCGCGGACCCAGGGATTGACTGCATATGGGTGTCGTCATGGAGGCTTCACTGACCTCATCCGCTCGTGTACCATCCTTACGGCGACCACTAATTCGCCGCGAGCCTTACCTGAGGAGCAATTGTATGCGTGTAAGTCTGACCGTAGAATCTCGATGACAGGGCCATTCCTCTTAAAAGCACCGCTTGGGGCTTGCTGCAGTTGCTCCCGCGCGTGCATTGCATCGTGTTTAAGATGACATGACTGCCTCTTCCGTGTCGCCTACGCTTCAATTGGCGCCTTCTGCATCCAGCCTCGATTTGTTAGACAACGATGAGATCATCCCGTGTACTTTGCCATCCAGTCGTCACCTCAGTGGGAGGTTTATATAGCCACCGCCTTCTGCCCTCAACTTCACCTCTTCTACTCCCCCACGTCACCGACACAGCCAAATTGAGTATTTCCCCCTCACTCATCACGCGAGCACACACAACAATCTTTTCTCCCAACACCACACCCACGATCCACATCACAACCCGCAAACACCCCATCCAACAAGCCAAAATGTCCACCGGCCAAAAGACATCCGGCCCCGAGGGCAACAAGCTCTTCACTCGCGACCACCTCTTTGACCTCACCGGCAAAGTCGCCCTCGTCACGGGTACGCCACCTCCTTTCCCTCATCCTCCGAGACCGTGATCTAACCCCCATCCAGGCGGCGGCACAGGCATAGGCCTAATGGCAACCCAAGCCCTCGCCTCCAACGGCGCAAAAGTCTACATCACCTCCCGCAACCAATCCAAGCTCGACAACACCGTCCAAACCTACGGCCAAAACATCCCCGGCTCCATCGTCCCCATCGTCGCAGACGTCACCAAGAAATCCGACATCGACAAGCTCTTCAAAGAAATCGAGTCCAAGGAATCCGCCCTCGACATCCTCGTCAACAACGCCGGCGTCTCCAGCACCGCCTTCGAAGTCGAGAGCGACTCCGCGCAGGACATGAAGGCCAGCCTCTTCGACGACGCCTCCGCCGACTTCGAAGACTGGACCGAGACGTACCGCACAAACGTCGCGGCCGTCTTCTACGTCGCCGCGAGCTTCCTCCCCCTGTTGCAGAAGTCCACGGATAAGCAGCACGGCTGGTCCGGCACCGTCATCAACATCAGCAGCATCAGCGGCATGATTAAGAAGTCGCAGCACCATTTCTCGTATAACGCGTCCAAGGCGGCGACGATCCACGTGAACCGCATGCTTGCCGAGGAGATTGCGTCCAATGGGCTGAAGATCCGGGTGAACAGTATCGCGCCGGGCGTTTTCCCGAGCGAGATGACGACCAAGGAGCCGGCTGATGAGGAGCAGAAGAGCGAGATTCCGAAGGAGAAGTATGCTGATAAGGTTATTGCGGGGCGGCCTGGGCGGGATGAGGATATGGCGTCCACGGTGCTGTTTTTTGCGTGTAATCAGTATTTGAATGGGCAGACGCTTGCTGTTGATGGGGGGTATACTCTTGCTGCTGGGATGTAAGGTAAGGGTGTGCATCGTGCATCACGAGAGGTGGTTGTGGTATGCGGGTTCTCCAGGCGTTGGGGTTGTCAAAATATATTAGTCTAGGGTGTGATGCAGATAGAATATCAATCGAATTCTGAAATCAGAGTTGTGTCGAATCATGATGGGGAGGGAAAGTGATGTGATTGTCAATTAGTACCGTCCGTTGTAGTCGATGGCTGAGCGTTGCGATTGTAGGATGATTTTGATATTGGCTAAGTTATGCCAGCGAGACGTTTGTCGACTTCACCATTTGCGGTGCATCGAAGGACCAACATCCCTCTAGAAGAAATCAATCCCAGAGCTGCGGTTAAGACCCTAATCCATGTCCTTATTCGTACGCGCAACCATAGCTTTCACGGCCCAACATTGCGCTCTGACAACTGGAAAAGCTTCTCTAAAGCACGTAGTCTACCCTGGCTATCGCCCTCGCCACCCGGACAAATCAAGATACTGGAGGCGATGAAGCGTTGATGTTCAAAGCGCCATAGGTTTCCACCAAATGAGTCAAGATATGACTCTCTTCGTCGTCATCGGCTTTAACGATACCTACTGGCCAGTGGCTTCGTACGGCCTGCGCGAGGGCCTTTTCTCTATTGTCAGGCAATTCGCTCTCGTTCACCGTGTCTCTCAGCAATGTCAACTCTTGTTGGCGCATACGTCCTCGAATAACTCTGAAAAGAGCGTTGGCCAGGAAATGATTGTGGCTCTGGTTGCCGAGGCCGTTTACAACTAGGAAAAGTGTTGACCGCAAGGTTTCGAGGTCATGATCGAGCGGTTGAGGTTCTGACTGTATCAAGTCGATGCAGTCTAGTCCAATAACCATGAGGGGTATGACAATGAATAGGTCCATGGCCTGAAATCCGTGGCGGATGAAATAGAGCCGCGTCAAAGTCCCCAAAAACATTTTCGCCTTAGCTACGACGTCGCGTAAAAAGGGCGATTTGGTCTTCTCCGACCCCAATAATGGTTCATGAATCGCCAGCGTCAGATGGTGATAATACATACTATTGTCATTCTTTGTTAGTAAGTGCATGACCAAGTACCGCTTTAGTCTAGGATCGCGGCGCCTGCCTTCCTAGATTTATTTCTAATCGAACGCTTTCTGAGTCAATGGACCTTACTGAAGTTGCAGGTGTGCAGGAAGAACGATTGCTCTTGGCTGAAGTGATCTAGGCAAGCCGTTGAACCAACTTTTCAGTCGTTCTGAAAGCACTTCAGCTAATTGAAGGCCAACCTCTGATGAGCCAGAATGAGCTCCCACACAGAATTCATTCATAATCTCTCGAAAATGAGATCTAGCATGTAGGACTTGACCAAGGTTTGACGGCACAAGACTACGCGCTAAAGGGTACTGCAGCCATATCTCTCCATACCATCCAGGATCATCCGCTGGATCTGGTAGTGGCAGCTCAGGAGGTTTCGTCAATAAGGGGTGAAGCCTAAATGAGAAGGCAACAAGTCTGCAAAGGTAATACAGTTAGCAACGAGCCGCGTGTCGCAGATGGATACTCGCGTTTCCCAATTGTACAGGGCCCAAGCAGCGTAGGCCCAGCCTCTCTGTGTCCGTTTACTCTTATCCTTTGGACCACCGTCGAAGAGACTCAGCTTCGACGCCAGCTTTACAGAATGAATCCGGTATGGCTGGCCAATTTCGTCGAGACCACACAGGTTGTGGAAAACACTGAAGATAATCCCTGCCTGAATAGTCGTGACGCGCGGCACGGAAGCTTCTAGTTCCCAGATACGTTTCGCCTCAGCAAGAAAGCGGTATATCAGCTTTCGAGTGTTCCAGTACTCCGAGCGATCAGAGAATCCAGGGTAGCAGGTCTTTGGCTAAGTTCAGTATATCCCCGAGTAGCAATGAGCGGTTGTTGATGACGTACACATGCGTAGGCTAGAGTGACATTTACCAGTAACGACGAGCAAAAATCAGTCCTTCGGGCAATCAGATCTTCCAAGAATAAGTCTTTCTGAAATGCTGCGGTGAACTGATACTCGCATCTGAGGAACACGGCGAGGAGATCCCGTAGGAGCACGTCGTCATCGCATACCGAGGTCCACCATGACACCTTTGCATTATAAAGTAGTGGTTCAATAACGCTAGCCCCATGATGTGGCTTGAAATAGAGGCTTTCGAAGGCATGTGGGCTTTGGAGATGTTCCGACGCAGGTCGTGCTTTGTCATTGGAACATGTAGCAGGGGTTTCTGTGGGAAGCGACGCAGCTTCATAAATCAATGAAGTCATGTAGGGGTTGTTGTGGGCGTATATTTGAGGCATTTCGGACCGATACGGAAGCACATATCGATATTGGGTTTCGGGAACCGTTGCCATCTGACGCAAGACATCGCCAGCTTTGATGTGGCTAATGATGGCTGTGATATCGCCTCCAGATCTGATCCTCGAGACGAGTTCCTGAGCTTGCTGATGAGGGAGGGTTCTCAATAGAGCAATTGCTTCTTCATGTATGGTCGAATGACCTCGAAAATTATCATGATGTCGGTCGGAAACTTGGCGTCGTATGTCCGCAGGTCGTGTAGTGTACGCACAGGGGCACTGCCGAGTGATACACCGACGGCATGACGGTCTTTCGCCCGAACACTGAAAGAGCGAATCTTAGTTTCTCTAAGAAGTTCTTAGAACGGAACCCATAATTACGTACCTTTGTTTTGTACTTGCGACACGCATTACAAGCAATAGAGACGTTATTCTGCCGCGGCCTCGGGAGGCTGGACTCTGACGTGGTCGTTGGCCGTGAGTTCTGTCTGCTTGACGGAAGAAGACGACGCAGAGACCCGGCACTCTGATTCAAGTAGCTCTCCGCCATATCTTGTTACGTCCGGTAACAAAGTTAATTTCGAAGTATCATCGCCGTTTGCAAACGTATCTGTAGGCGGGGATGAAGCCTGAGAAATTAACAGGGTAGCAAGGTGATGTCACTTTTTCATCATAGAGGTGTTAAGAAGGGAGTATCACCCAATCAATCCACGTACCTACATATATTCTGAACATCCCTTGACTTGTAATAAGACAGGCGAAGACTCCCCGCAACAGCTGATTAACAATTCCCCGCACAAGCAACGTCTTGTTGGGGGAAAACGAATTTTGCCCACCTAGATAACGCCCACCAAGATAACGCCCACCACTAAATAACACCCCCTCGCCCGATGAGTAGAATGCACCTCGTCGACTGCTTGTTATAATATTCTTGACCTATGGGGGATCCAAAACGTGGATAATTAGCCCGAGATAGTCAGCGATGAACACACTGAGACTCTGATTCCCAGTTCAATGATGACTAAATTATCGGCAGAGGCAACCTCGCCGATAGGGTTTTCTCAAACTAGCATCCCGGGCTCGCGTGCTTATGTAGAGATGCGAGCAAATTTCTATAATAATACTACTTTTCCCGTCCCTCTTGGTGACGACAGCATCGATGACCTGCAGAAACTTTCTAGAGACAGTGAATTCAACAAACACATGACACGCGATAACATGGATTGCAAGGAGATCCACAAAAGTCACCTCGAATTGCTTTTGGGGACCACGCCCTCAGTGAACTTTAATAATAGTTACTTACTGTCCCATCTGTGGTCCGTTCCTCTCTCTTCCTCACTTTTGAATCGTGCTAGTAACACTGCTTTTTGTCTGTCGCTCAATCCGCGGACTCTACTGAAATCCTTTCGAAGGAAAGGCCAATACCCCCTCCCTCCAGCGAGCCAGATATATGACCTCTGCTTCTCCGATTGCACTATGTTATCGACTGTCCATGACTCATGCGCCCTGCGGAAGAAAGGCTCCATGAACAGAACCTCATCAGACCTCTCTTTCAACATTCCTGTATCCTCGATGTCCCACATGAGATATGCGGCGTCCCAGTGGTTTTTCAAAGAGTATGAGTTAACTGATACACTGCAGACGGATTCGTGGCCATGTGCAGCGACCCAAAATCTAATCGGAGTCCATAATTCCGATTCATGTATGCAATCCGAAGGTCGTGATAATTTACGAATGTTTTCAATTGGACAAGATCGTAATGTGGCCCGGGGCCTGCTAGGGCTGATACTGTTGGGAAGTCTATTCTCCGGCAGCATGAGCGCTAGGTTGTAAAACGGCTCGTTGACCTTTCGCCAGTCCTCCTCAAGATGCAAAGGTAGTAGCTCGCGTCTTTCGTCAAACAATTTGGCTTCGAGAAGGCTCAGTACAAAGGGAAGGCCGCGCGACAGCTAGAGAAAAAGAGATGAGTGGGCAGCCGAGATCGTTTGGAAGATAACTTCTCACATGCCACTGAATCTTCTCAGAATCAGCTCCATTTTCGCTCCAGTCGACAGCGGTACTGCCCCATTCTATATCATTCATGGCGATATCGTCGAACGCTGTTGGATGATCAGCCTGTTTCATAATAAGTTGGCTATCATATGGAGAGACCAACCATCAGTAACCTTGCGCTCGAGATAGACGTATACGCACATAAGCTGCTCATTAACCCAGGGAGAGAAGATGCTGAAAAAGCGTTGGTAAATTTCTTGACTCCGAAGTGGGTTTCCAGCTTTATTTGCAACACAGAAAAGATTGCACATAAGCTGATACCTGAGGAAGGCTCGGTTCAGTCGAAAGTGCTCCTGTTCTGAGATCTCTTCTCGATGGTTCATCTGGAACATGCTTGTGAATGCTGGAAGTGACTCGCATATACAGTCGTGTTTGAGAACCTTGGTCGCTGCGAGGTAACGACTTAAGGAAGCGCACTCCGGGAGGGTCAAGCGGCTGAAAAACGCCTCGTGATCGAAGTAATTACCACGTATGCGAGCTTCGAGACGTAAGAGGACATTTTTCACCGCTGCATGGTCCTCTGGTTGGATCTGTTTCGATTCAATCAAGGCGGCCGCGAAAGGGAGAATGTTCGGCGGGACTTGTCTTGCAACTATGCTCCGAGCGATTGTATGGGTGCCGATTTTGAAAGCTTCCCAAAAGATGCGATGGCTCACAATCACAGAACGGATATCGGCGAATGTATCTAACCAGGTGAGAATTTCAATAAGAATGTGTAGGGGGAGGTACTTGACCAGGCATGGCGATCTCATTGCGTCTGGCATTGAGTGCACGATGAAGCCGACTTGAACACCACAATGTTTTGGCTGGGATGAGTGGGTAAGTATGTTAAGGCCAGGAAGGAACTTGCGAACCGGACTCCTTATGTGGATGGTCGCCTGCGGTTACGCTAAAATACCCTCCCCCATCTAAGACTCTAACTCTAGTCATGATAAAGTAGAAACGACCTAGTCCAAGGTTACCAGACAGACACAAAGATTACAGGCTTTGGGATGTATCATTCCATCCTAGAGCAGCGTAATAATCATACTACTCGTCCCAAATTGAGTTGTTCTCTGAGCCCAGACTTTGCGTACCTTTTCTTTCTTTAAACTGATGGGCATCTCTCAAAGCATTCAGCGGGAGCACACTTTTCACTAAGTGTAGGTACGCTGTCCAGGGATGGGATCGCGATGATCTGGGTTCTACCAATCGGAGGCACAGCAAAGCTCGCTCCGGACTGATCACAATGAGATCACTGGCCTTGACAGAGACTGGCCAATCCAAAACAGCGGAAGCTTGACGGTACCTGCTATTGGTTTAAGTCTCTACGAGGTAGCGTGGAAAGACAAGTGACGAGCTCCTATACCGTGTTGGGCTTATCAGAATGCGAGCCAAGAATCAGGCATCCGATACGGTGACGATGGACGCCCAGTGGGGAAGATGTGACGATATGCCGACGAATCGTATGGCCAAGTGGGAGACTCTTCAAACAACGAGGGGTAAGCCACAGCACCACTCACCCCATCGTGCTACCCAAAGCATGGTCGCTATATCGCTATTGGATAAGAATTCGCTGACCACGTCTCACCTATCGCGCCGATCTCCATTCGAGGGACTTTCCGCAGTACGTGTGCTCTTGGGTAGAGAGCTGAGCATTAACGCCCTAATCAAAGGATGCCGAACACATCCCGACCTACGTTTATGAGTAGCACAGTAGGTACTGACTCTTCGAATGATCAAATAAGGGAGGGCTGCTTTTCGATCCCACTAAGTCTTCATATCGAACTTTCACTGACTTTGACATACATTTTTAAGTCTATCTTGCTTGGTTCGATGATCCTTAGAGTTGTGGTGCCGCATAGTATCATTATGGCGGCTATTATGGTGGTATAGGCAGCAGCACCCACCACTCGATTGCTACCTGCGCGAAGGAAATAGAGCTTTGGCTGTTGTTCCAAGATTTTTCAATCTCGAAATCTTCAGAAGGCTTCCCAAGACCCGCCGCCTATGTTATTGGCAGCCACAATGATGTACCGTTGTATCGCCTCGGACTGACATTCACCATGCTCCAAAATCTGGCTTCTCAACGACAGAACCTCGTTCTTAAGCATTGTCACCAGAGATTGAAGATACACATGATCTTGCATTACCTGTTTCTCCTTGGCGACAAGCTCTGCCTCGTATTGTTTCGTCTTTTCTCGGCATCGTTTTGCAGCGGCTGGGTTCTTGACACGATATGGGCCCTTCTTGATTTGGCTAGCGCTTTCAGTCTTAATCACGTTATGGCTATGCGTTGTGGGTACATAGCAACGTGTAAGCTTGGATTTCATCTCGCTAATAGGCGCCCCCTGAAGAGTTGCTGGCTTATTCTTGAACCGCTCGTTCGTCGTTTTGGGCAATTCTTTTGCCACCCATCCGTCGATCTCAGTTGAATCAGGCTCGGTAGAGTCTTCTGAGAGGTGCTTGCGAGCCGCGGTCATGCTAGGAAGAGTTTCGACGGGAGTTGACCAATGTGCCGCCTGGCTTGAATCAATCTGGTTGATTTGATTTTCCGTCCGGAAATGCGCAGAATTGGGGTGGAAGACTGGTGGCCAGTCGATCATTGAAAAGCCCGAGACGACCGAATTCCCTGTACTGGATGGATAATGACCCTGTGATTCGGATCCCAAGGGAATCCAGCCCATTCTATTAAGGAAGACACCTGAGTAAGGCAAAGACTCTACCTCGGGTCCGTAAGAATCGCGGTGCGACCATCGTTGAGATTGTTCGTCGTCACTGGAGTGTAATCGACAGAGTTTCCTTGGCAAAGGCTCAATGTACGGGTCCATGTTTGCGGCTCGGTTTCCAAAGAAAGCCCTCGATCAACGTAATAAATTGGATGGAAGTTCAAGATAAACAGGGAAGAGTCTATAGTCGGCCGTGTGTGCTGATGTCGACCGGTAGTAACAACACACGGTTCCTACCAGTGGATTTGCAATGGAACGCGGGAGTTGTCGAAGCTGGGTTGTCCTGCCTCTTGCACTGAGAGGACTTGAAGAAAAGGTAAGAGCTTGGCGGGTGTATGACTTATGAATGGGGTGGTGTGAGCGGCAAGACATTGGAGGCACCAGTTCCAGCACACGCTAGTGAATGCCGGAGTCGCGGAGAAATGTCTTAGTGGACATCCACTTTTCAAGTAGGTCACTCAGGCCAAGTAGCGAGGGCATTTGCGGTGAGGAGAACCTCCTCGCTACATGTAGCAAACGCCACCTTGACCATTTGACACGCTTGGGAACCCCAAAATCCTGAAGAGAGATGATGACTCGCAAGGGTGTCATGATTGGACCGCGCAAAAGACAACCACCTTAACCTGGCGCGGTGGCCAAAAGAAAAGAAATTCTAATGGCCAACTCATCCAGCTCCTGCATATCGTCATAACCAAGCAATCCTCAGTACCAAATACTCGCCAATCTCTGCTACTTTTTGAGACCTTGATTCTGGGCAGAGTCACTTATTGGCCAAAATCTGCGTAAGACAGCAGGCGCACGAGCTAACGCAAGTTTGAGTTGCTCGAGTTTCTGAGGTAGTCCCTGCTGGGGGCTGGAGGGGGGGGGGGGGGTAATGCGTGGCACGTCAAAAGGCTTATTGTTGGATTCTAGGCATCGACAGAGGAGGTAGATCTGGAAGGCGGTCTGGGCCGTACAAACGACCCTTCCGCTTGTATGACACCTCTGTCGGATTGAGAATCCAATTCGACCTCGTGGCAGCAGGCCAGCGCAGGGGCCACTTACAAACCATAAGTCAAACCCCCCACTTCCCGGCACCCCCCTGTTTCTGGCACCCACAAAAACGCGAAAATCCACCACAACGCAATGCCCACCCCCAACCTCCTTTTATCACAACATTTTCAATTCGAGTCCAAATGGGCTCATTTTTTGCACATACCTTCTTCTATATCTAATGCCTCAATATACCGAAGATCAGCTTCGTCAGGCTCTCGAGGACATCTCAAACGGCAAGAGTCAAAAGAGAGCCTCATTGGAGTATGGGATACCACGATCAACCCTCCAACTACGTCTCCAAGGTGGTCAGACTAGGAAAGTGGCTTTTGCTGACTGGCAGAGGCTGTCTCCTGACCAGGAGAGTAAGCTGGCACAATGGGTTCGCATTCAGGCTTCGCTGGGCCTCGCACCAACGCACCAACAGGTGAAGGAATTCGCAGAGCGAGTTCTGGCTGCTGCTGGGGATACCAAACCATTAGGAAAGGCTGGATCTATGCCTTCGTGAGAAGGAACCCTATCATTAAGGTTCAGAGAAGTCGTTCCATCGATTCTAGACGCGTTAATGGGGCATCTACTGAGGTCATTAGGAACTGGTTTAAGTTCCTTGCTATCCCTGAGATCAAGGACATCAAACCAGCCAACAGATATAATATGGATGAGACTGGCATCCTCGAGGGTCAGGGAGCTAATGGGTTAGTGCTGGGCATGGCTGAGACGACGTCTGTTCGCAAGAAACAACCTGGGTCGAGGGCATGGGTCTCTATCATTGAGTGTATCTCAGCCTTGGGTAGGGCACTTCGTCCTCTTATCATTTTCAAGGGAAGACGGTCCAACAACAGTGGTTTCCATTACATCTGGTTCCATACGATGGGTGGGAGTTTACAGCAACAGATAATGGCTGGACTACAGACTTAACTGCCATTGAATGGTTAGAGAAGGTGTTTATCCCACAGACTATGCCCGAGGCTGAGGGCGAGGCTCGACTGTTGATTGTGGATGGGCATGGGAGTCATACGACGACAGACTTCATGTGGAATTGCTATATTAACAATATCCATTTACTGTTCTTACCACCACACTCCTCTCATGTCCTCCAGCCACTTGACCAGTCTGTCTTCAGCCCTGTTAAGTCAGCCTATCGGAAGGAGCTCGGTTACTTGTCTCAATGGAACGACTCTACCATTATAGGTAAAAGGAACTTCCTGGACTGTTACCAGAAGGCTCGACTTGCTGGTCTATCAGTCTCGAACATCAGAAGTGGTTGGAAGTGGACTGGTCTACACCCTGTAGCGATGGTTAAGCCCCTGATGAACCCTATGGTATTACCTGAGCCTTCTGCTAAGCCCACCACACCCAAACCAACCAGTCGGGGCAAAAGCGATGCCATAATGGTCAACAAACTACCCCTGTTGAGCCATGGGATTCTGCTTCCTCTGCAGTGGTCTGGTCGACACCCAGGAAGCTGGCAGAGCTCAGCGGTCAACTGCACTTATACACCCAACTCGACAATGATACCAGCACTCAACGGCTGCTGTTCAGGAAGGTGAAAAAAGGCTTCACAGAGCAGGCCTGGCAACTGGCAGCTGCCCAGCAGCAGCTGGCTCACCTGAGGGCTCAAGTTACCAACGCTGCAGTTAGGAAGAGGAAGACTGTTCAGATCGATCCCAACACGAAGTTTGCGAACATCAGGGATATCCATCGGGCTCAAATCGAAGCGGGTGAAAAGGAGGTTATTACGGCTGAATCCAGCGACTCTGAATGCCCTAGTGAGGCTGGCAGTTGTATTGTAGTGGGTGTGGTTGAGGATCAATAGTTAATAGTAATGAGGAGGTTGGGTTGTGATCCCATCGTTTTTGTGGGTGCCAGAAACAGGGGGGTGCCAGGAAGTGGGGGGTTTGACTTACTTGCGATAATGGCGGCCTGCCCAACCTACGGTTGGAACCTCCTTTTTACACAACGCGCAGAAGTTCATATAGATCAATTGACCTCTTCGTCAACCCACGGCCCGAACCCACTACTTTGTTATAGTAATACCAATAACTTCTGAGGAACCGTGGGCTCTGCTCACTTCCTCCTATTTCCACCTCCATACGCAACGCAGTACCAATATATCGATTCTTACACTTCGTGCCAACTCCATACTTGGTATCTCTCTTGTATCGGATTTCATAGGCCCATAAGAGGCAGGCTTCACGTCTCGCGACGTTTCAACAGCTGGATCTCGAGGTTATTGTGTTTACCATTACTTGCAATACTCATGACCAATCCGCAGAAAGTAGACAGAGGGTTCAGGACTCCTCAGGAATTATTAGGTGTTGCTTCAGTCTGTTAGTTTCATTAACGGAGCAGCAAGAGAGTTGCTGCCTACCAACTAGCGCTCTAGGTCGATGACAAGCGGATACACTCCGAATATTCCTTGGAGTCTATTCTGCGGGCCACGAAAAACAGTTTCTAAAGCCCATTACCAGAGTTTCCTTACTTATGTCTCAAATCAGACTTTTCTCACGTTCTTGGCGATTCTGCAATGTTATTCAGCCTATGTCCGAGCCGAGGTTGCAGTGCCTGGCTAATGGGTGAGAGTTGGGATCCCAAAGCGGAAGTCGGAACTTCCAACCAACAGACCACACTTGTTGTCTCCTGAACCAACAGAGATGTGATTGAAAAAGCGGAGAACTTGTTGAATGGCAGGGGATTGCTCAGAAAGAGGGGTAAAGGGAGACGATCTCTAACAAAAACAGCATCGTCCTCTTGCCCGCGACTTTATACCGTTACTCAGTACCTCTGACAACCTCTAATTCCGAGCATTAATTGCAACGCCCAGGAGCAACCCAAGATGCAACAAGAGGCACAGCATCCACCCATTGAGGCAGACGACTCTGGTATTGACGACGCCTCTTCCGTTGGAGGTCTCTCAGCAGACGAATCTAGCGCTTCTCTGAGATCGAGCATCTTGGATTACCGCCGCGAAAATGGTCGCACCTACCACCGCATGAGCGACGGCAAATACGCCTTCCCAAATGACGCGCGAGAGCAAGATCGCCTGGACATGGTCAACCACCTCTGGATGCTGATCCTGGACAATGCCTTCTGTCTGTGTCCCAAGAACGATGGCTCTACAGCCAAGAGAGTTCTCGACCTAGGCACCGGGACGGGAGTCTGGGCTCTCGACTACGCCGAGACGTTCCCTGAAGCGACTGTCCTCGGCGTCGACCTTAGCCCCATCCAGCCCGGATTCGTCCCTCCCAATTGCAGCTTTGAGATCGACGATTTGGAAAAGGAGTGGACCTGGTCCAAGCCCTTTGACTTCATCCTCGGTCGGAACATGAATGCGAGCTTTTCGGACTGGGACAACATTATCAAGCAGGCGTATGACCACCTCGAGCCTGGCGGCTACTTTGAGATCCAGGACAGTTGCTGGCCTCCCGTTTCCGACGATGGTACGCTCAGAAAGGACTCGGCGCTTGCCAAATGGTCGGGCCTTTTGGTCGACGCCTGCAACAAGATCAATCGCCCGATTGACAAGACACTTGAGTTGTCCGGCAAGATGGAGGCCGCAGGTTTTGAGGAGGTTGTGGTGACTCCGCTCAAGTTCCCATCCTCTAACTGGCCCAAGGACAAGAAACTCAAGGAGATTGGCGAATGGAACCGATTCATGTTGACGAGTGGGCTGGAGGGAATGACCCTAGGGTTGCTTACTCGTTTCATGGAGTGGTCCAAGGAAGAGACACTGGTGTTTTGTGCTGAGGTGAGGAAGGACTTGCTTGACACGAGCATTCATGCCTACTGGAACGGATATGTAATTTATGGACGGAAGCCTCGAAAGGCGGGCGAGGAGGTGGAGTCCAACTGAAGTGTCAGAGAGACGTGAGGGTGATTTCGATGAGTGATTGAGTTAGCCTGATGTAGTGATGAGAAAAGACATTTCTAAGCACGATGAAATAAAGCAAAGCGACGCTCCACACAGTCGATATATTGGTTTGATTTTAGCGCGATAGCGATTGGGGTAAGGAGAACACATGTCGAAACGACTGGCTGGTGAGAGACACAATGTGCGGGATAGCGTCTTGGCAAGGCGCTCTTTCAGGGCAGCACACCTCAGCTGGTTCGAATCAGCCGCACACTAACGCTCTTTTGTAGAACATTAGAGCCAGGTCGATTACCTAACAAGGACAGACAATTGCGGATTCGTGATACATAAAATAAAGACATAGAACCATAACAAGACCAATCAATGTGGGTGCGTGAGCCCGATCAAGAATAGATCTTGGACCGAACATGAACCATACTCAGATTCCAAGTCGCCTGTAAGTCCGTCCAGCATCCTCCTCATCAATCATTCCCTCCATAGAGCCGCTACTGAAGAACGAGTAGAGGTATATTTCGTCTCAAAGAAGCCGATACAAAATCAAGACTCTTTTCGCGACTCGGCAAAAAGTACATCTTCGCAGTGGCGGAGAAATACCCCTTGAATTTAGACGACGCATTGTTCCTTGTCTACTTCCCGCTAATACCCTACGGTTCAAGCGATGCCATAATCTTTATACGAAGTGAATCCGACAGGGGATTTCGCAGATATGCTGCAGTTGTCGCAAGGGGTGATCCGCAGTTTGAGATTGAGATACAGCATTACCCGGCTGAAAGCGCGACTAGTAAGTAGGCTGAGATACCGGGCTCAGTCTCTGAGAGATTGCTTCAGACGTAAATAGATCCCCAGTTCCTAATGATCAAGGAAACAGCACGCTTTCACTCACTTGCAGACGTGATCTCTCAACGCCAAGACAAAAAGACAATCGACACGATCAAGATTGGTCTCAAGTTCCGGCGAAGTTGGGTTGGGTCGCCAGAGTATACGGAGTGGAATGAAGAGGCCGGGACTCCCGTGAAGTACAGGACTGAGGATGTAAGTATTCTTGCACTTCATGAGCCACAACTATGTCCAGCGTCTGAAGTAAGATTGTTGACGTCTGGACCAATGTAGTTCAAAGTATGGGACGACACCAACGCGCAGGTCGTGATGCTATTCCATCACTTCAACCGAGCCAAGAAGGTAAGCTGGGAACTCTCTTTTTGAAAGTTCAACGGCTAGCGAAAGTTCAACTAATCATTCAACTCCAGCCCTCGGGAGCCAGATTCTCCATAGACCTGGCGCAAAAAAGCGGCGATTCGAACGGATATCTCATTCATCAGGAGCACGTGCTTCCGGTTCTCGCCAAGGCCACGATGCATGCCCTCTTGGCTTGGAATTATTGGACGCATGATCTGCAAGAAGCATCACCGATTCGGAGAGACGAAGAAGAACCTTCTTAACGTCGCCGAGGGAGGTCGTTGGACGCAGACATTTGCTATCGACAATGTACAGTGTAGCAATCACAATCCTTCTTCTCTTATCTTGCTCATAAGGTAATGTGTTTCTTATTGGAAATTCTAGTGTGTGGAATGCGTTACATACTTCTTTGTCTCTTTGTTCCAAAATTAAGAAGAAAAAGTAAAGATGTAATCAAAATATGCTTACCTCCTTGGTCGTAAAACAGGTTGTCAGGCATTGGCGAGGTTTTGGCTGTGCACCAGGTGTAGGTGAGAGTAGAGTCACCGCCACCCTCGCTTCGCACTTTCCTACCTTTTTCATCAAATCGAGACCTAATATTTGTTATTTAACTTACTATACTGCAATTTTAGAAAATTCTAGACTCTCCTTCTGAGCTCGTCTCTCACTTCCCAAGCTGAAACAGATTGTATTTCCTTCTTCACTTTACGCCTGCATTGAGAATTGGAATGCGACTTCTCTAAGCGCCAGAGAGAGATCTTTGATCTGGATATCTAAATCAATGTCGGAGCCGAGATTTTTTCTTGCCGAATGGTTCGTCCTGTGAAGTTAAGTGGCAGACTCTCCCAGCTGAGAGCTCTGAATGGCCCTTGTCTCGAGAATCTAAAGTCTATCTCGTTTGACTTTTGCCAAGAGACACATCAGATGCATTTTCCCCAACAAACGGGGGCCATATAACAACCTCTGGAGAAATGCGTCTTGAAACACCCCGAGTAAACCCTCAAAGGCATGAATACTGATTTTGCTTGCTTCCTAAAAGTTCGAGTGAGGGGCTTCCATGACTGGACTTATAATTAATTCCTGCATTGCCGGAGATCGACGAGAAAAGCTCTCCGTTGGATCTTCGTCGCAGCAACCAGATGACTATCTTTGCCTTCACTCTGGCACACTTTCCAAGACCGGGCGACCCACCAAGTCGGGGCATCGGGAGTCAAAGCGACCGACCTCCGATACCTCACGTGACTCGCCTCACCCAGAGATCCCAGCTGCAACTCCCGCCCACCGACTACAAGCTAATTTCAACCACGCCAGCCATTCATCGTCCCAAGTGGCCCAGGAAGGACAGCCAAGTCCAGGCAGAATACACTTTACCGTTCAAAGTAACGCCATCGCCAGCTAGAAGAATGTTACGACCCCATTGCCCCGCGTGCGACCGGCCTCAATCTGGCCCCGGTTCCCGTATCTGTCCTTGACATGCGTTGTGTGGACAACCCTGCACCTCGATCAAATTGCGTGTTTCCCCGTCTTACCTCTCGCCCGCGGACATCTCCCTCGACAATCTGGCAATGAACGTGACGTACGCAGTTATGATGAAGCACGGAGCTTGTGAAGGCGAGGTGCCGACGTGTTCGTTCAGCTGATGTTGGGCATGGAAACTCTGGTCCTCTTTGAAGCATATCGAGTCCCCTAGATGTTCCGCAGTATGACCCAAACGAACTTACGCGGGAAAAAAAGATGTTATTTAAAGTAGTATCCCGCCTTGCCTCGTCGCGGTCGGCGTCTGCTGCCATTACCCACTCAGAAGCACTAATACACCAATGCATTCACCATCAGAGAAAAGACCATTGACATCGTCAACCAAGAGATCATCACTACCGAAAATGAGCGAAACAGACGTCCTCATCATCGGCGCCGGCCCCACGGGCCTTACTCTCGCACTCGAGCTCTCGGTACAGAGCATCCCCTTCCGCATCATCGACAAGGCCCCCGTCCCGTCAGACAAGTCCCGCGCCCTGGCCGTGCAGCCGCGCTCACAGGAGCTCCTCCACCGCCACCGCCACATCGCCGAGTCCATGCTCGCCGAGGGCACCGCGGGACCCGGCGTCAACATCTACTGCAACAAGCGCCATCTCGTCACCGGCACCTTTGACGACCTCGGCTTCGACGATACCCGCTTTGGCCTGCCGCTGTGGATCTCTCAGGTCGACACCGAGGGCGCCATGCTGCGGCAGCTGGAGGTTTATGGCGGTACTGTGGAGCGGGGTGTGTCGGCGGACGATATCAAGCAAGACGGCGTCCGCGCGAGCACCACTCTGACAAAAGGCACGTCGAAGGAGATCGTTCGGGCAAAGTACATTGTCGGCTGCGACGGCGCACACAGCGTCGTGCGGCACAGCGCCGACGTGACGTTTGAGGGTGCGCAATACCCTCAGCAGTTCATGCTCTGCGACGCAAAAGTGAAAGGCGACTACGACACAGAGCGTGTCTCCCTCTATCTCGGCAGCAGGGTAATGGTCGTCTTTCCTCTCAAGAACGGCGTGGTCCGCTTCGTGGGCGAAAGGTCATCGAGGAGCAAGCGCGAGGGCGACCCGGATAAGGAGGAGATTGAAGAGTTCGTGGAGGAGATGATGGGGAAGAAGTTGGAGATTGAAGAGACGCTGTGGCTGACGAGCTTCCGGTGGAACTGCCGTGGTGTCAATAACTACCGCGACGGACGGCTATTTATGGCCGGCGACGCGGCGCATATCCATTCCCCTGCCGGCGGCCAGGGTATGAACACCGGCATTCAAGACGCCATCAACTTAGGCTGGAAGCTCGCGGCCGTGATCCGTGGCGAGAAGGAGGAGGCATTCCTGGACACATACAACGAGGAGCGTCACCCTGTCGGACAACATCTCCTCACGGGCACAGATCGCATGTTCACCATGGTGTCGTCGCAAAACACAATCTTTACGACGGTGCGGAACTGCTTGATGCCATGGATCGTCCCCCGGATTTGGAGCAACAAGGCGCGACGGCTGTCGCTGTACACCTTTATCTCGCAAATGGCCATCAAGTACCGCAACAGCTCCATCGTCGGCACAGCAGTCGGCTTCGACGGGCCTGTCAGGGGCGGCTGGAGGGCGCCAGACGGGCAAGTCACGGACGAGAGGGGCGAGAAGGGCAAGTGGTTGCTCGGGATGACGAGCGCGCGGGACCACACGATTTTCCTGTTTGCAGGCGGTGCGGCGGACGACGAGGAGAACTTGGACAAGGCGGAGGAGAAGATTGTCACGGACGGAAGGTTCAAGGAGTACGGTGTCATCAAGATCTATGCCGGGGAGACGGTGGGAAAGGGGGGCTACAAGGACGTGGACGGCGTGCTGCACAAGCGGTACGGGTTCGAAAAGGGGGCCGGGATGGTGGTTGTGAGGCCGGATGGGTATGTTGGATTTATCGGCCCGGCGGAGTGCGTGGAGGAGTTTCTATCAATGTGACGGCGGGGTCTGTATGCCGATGGGGTTTGGAAGAGTGTCAAGATAGCCGGGAGTAATCGTAATGGGTTATGTGTCATGGAGAGGAAAAGGCTGTTATTGAGACAAAGCCGGGAGTTTGGGAAGACGAGAATAAATCTCTCCGCTCTACAGCAAAGTGCAGAATCGAATTCAGAGGAATCGTTACTAAGTACCTTGGCGAGAAAACCGTATGAGTGAAACGAGTCAACAGTTTATTGCATTGCTCGGCCTTACGCTCGGCGGCTCAACCGAATCGAATTGATGAAGGCCGCAGCCGCAAACGCGCCGGTACTTGGCGTGGCGTGCGGGGGGCAAGGGAGGGAACGGGTTGCGACTTCAACGTCCGAGGGGACGGAGACTCTCCGAGCCAACGGCCGCGGGAGCAGCCATGTTCCCTCCTCCGCAGAGCCTCTTTTTTTCACCATGTCGAGTTGACAGCTGCTTGATGTGGAGGGGGTTACCACCGATGTCAGGAGGTAGGTAGGTAGGCACCTAGGTGTTTGCATGTGTATGGAATGAGACGCCGTTACAATGGCACTAGGACGGAGCCTTTGGAACGAGGAAGAGATTACATCAGACTGACAGGAGGAGAAAAGAAGGTGTCTATCTGTGAATGGAAATGGAGACGAGGGTGAAAAAAGCGGCCAACGTGGAGTCCCCGCATCGTGATAGTGCGGCGATTGCATCGTCTGCTGTGGGCATGGCTATTCGGTCCGATCGGGGCCCATGAGCCTCTCAGTGACGGGATCTTCCAATGGGTTTTGAGCAATGCAAGATTCGGGGTGGGAGATGCAGTGAGTCGTCAGTTTTCTTTTTGTGGATTATTCCCGCCTCGTTCGATGGTGGGGATGAGGACGTGGATGAATCGGAGAATTCGACCCAAGTTTATTCCGCGATCTCATTGTTCAGCGTAACCACATAACCCAACCGATGAGGTAGAAACGAACTACATTCTTGGTTGCCCACTGCCCTGATCTGTCCTATCAAGGTAACTGAGACCTGAGACCTGAGCTGTAAAAGATGGTTGACTAAGACAGGTACGTACTGGCGCCGCAGACCGCCGAGGAGGACGCCACGGATCGACGGAATTAAGCTTCGACTACAGCGATGGCCCCGGCACGCCTCGCCCGTTTCAGAGCCGCGGATGGAGTCCCCACCAAGCGACGTCATCGCTGCCCCTTCGCCAACGTCAAACATCAACGTCAACAGCGCGCCTTCTCGCCTTGCCTTGCCCACCTCTTCCAGGTTATGTACCTCCTGCGAAGGAAGGAACGTGGGTACGTAGCGGTGATCAAGTATGCGGGGTGCAGATTCCATCTCCGTTCTTTTCCATCTTTTCCCGTCCCCTGCTGCCATGCTTTGGGTCGACTCTTGACTCAGTTCGCGTCGTGGACTGCCACGGTTTGGCCGAACCATCATGTCATCCCTCCGGCCAGTGAGAGTAAAGACACGAGAAACATGCATACAGAAAGACCGCTCGCACACAGCCGGCCGGCTTCAACCCCGAAACTCTGAATATCCCTGCTCCCATCTGCGGCCAATGGACCACTGACCTCGAGTCTGTCTTTGATACATTGGGGCTGACTGATTCCCCGCCATCCATCCATCCTTTCCCATCGTTCGAGTCGGCCCGGCCTAATCAGCGTCGATACCAGCGAGCGGCCATCGCGCCCTAGGACCAACCATGGGTCTTGACCTTGGTTTCCTGCGCTGCTGCTGCTGAAGCTGCCTGTTCTACCTTGGCAGCCAGAGGTAAATCGTAGAACCGAGACTTGAGGTCCCTGGGACGCAGGTCACTAACGCAGCCGCACCATGACGATGACATCGTTTTGTTATCCACACTAGTCAGTCGCCTTTCCCACCACCACTCGATCCGTCGCCCATTACCCCACAGACTGGCGACGAGCACACGAGGAGTACATCTGGGCAGGTAGCCGCGACAGATTTAGCGGCAACGCCTTGTTCTTCGTAGAGCTTGCCTGGGGTTGGCTGGCGTGCCCCGGCCCCATGTTGGTTCGGGACTAATTGACGGGGTCCCCACTATGGGAGAGATGATGCCGCTAGTCGGAGGAATTAGACGTATGTAGTTCCCTTTCTTGGCTTTCTATATAGACTACGTCTGTTGCCGTTTCCCCGAACAATCGCAGTTCGAGACAATTGTCTTTTGGTCTAGCCGAGTCCAGGGTAACTTTGGTATTCATCGGGATTGGGAACACACAGCACGGGTTCCAGCACTAATTCTTCGACGCTCGGCCCGCATCACTGTTTGCTCTTCACCTTTTCTTTCACTTTCCCTCTCACCAACTACAACCACTCTCACCAATTGACGACATCGCACAACTTGATCGATTCCTCAGACCGAGCCTTTCATCATGGGATGGTTTGGCTTGAAGGGCGGGTGGCTCACCTTTTGGGTCACCATCGCCTGCGCGACAGACATGACACTCTTCGGGTAGGTCTTCCTCCTCCCCTCAGCTCACTTTCCACCATTCAACAATTCTTTTCACCACACTCCTACCCCCCAGAGCCTCATCTTCCGAACTTCCACTCTTAGGATCTCTAATCTAACAATCCACCAGCTACGATCAAGGCGTCTTCGGCGGCGTCATTGTAACAGATGACTTTCTCCAAACGATGGGCATTGTCGGCAACGACAAGCTCCAATCCACCGTCACCGCAATCTACGACATTGGCTGCTTCCTCGGCGCAATTTCCACAATATGGATCGGCGAGCGCCTCGGTCGCAAGAACACCATCCTCGTCGGCACCACAATCATGTCCATCGGCGCCATCCTGCAGACCGCCGCTTTTGGCCTCCCGCAAATGTTCGTTGGCCGCGTCGTCGCGGGTATCGGGAACGGTATCAATACCAGTACCGCGCCGGTGTGGCAGGGCGAGACGAGTAAGGCGAGTTGGAGAGGCAAGTTGATTGTTATCGAGATGATTATGAACATCTTTGGGTTCTCACTGAGTATGTCTTCCTCGTCTTCCTTCCCTCTCTGGGTATCTCCCGGCCTCGTTCTTCGGTACCAGATACTAATGATGAGCAGGTAACTGGGTCACGTTTGGCTTCTCATACCTCACCGGCTCCATCTCATGGCGCGTTCCCCTGGCCTTTCAGTTCTTCTTCATCTTCATCCTCTACGGCACCGTTCCCTGGTTGCCTGAGTCACCTCGGTACGTCCCCTTCCTAGTCCCCTAAAACATCACCCGCTGGATTCCTATGACTGACAATAACCCCAGCTGGCTCATGGCTCAAGGCCGCGTCGCCGAAGCCGAACAGATCCTTGCCGACCTCGAAGACATGCCTGTCGACGATGCTTATATCCAGACTCAGTCCAAGGACATCCAGTGGGCCATCGACTACGAAAGAGAGAATACCGTCCCCTGGTCGGACCTCCTCCGAGGCCGGACCGGCGAGTCATCGGGAACGTCCACCATCCGGCGTATATTCCTAGGGTGTGGAACCCAGGCCATGCAACAATTTTCCGGGATTAATGTTACAAGTTACTATTTGCCTCTCGTTCTCATCAATTCTGTCGGTTTGGACAATAAACTTGCGAGATTACTGGCGGCGTGTAATTCCGTCAGTTACTTCTTGTTCAGTTTGATCGGAATCCCCAACGTGGAGAGGTGGGGAAGGCGAAAGATGATGATGTGTAAGTTGTGGAAACGTCGAATCCAGACCCGATGAATACGCACAGGATCGCTAACTTTTGCAAACAGACGGTGCCTTTGGCCAATTCATGTGCTACGCCGTCATTACCATCTGTATTCGTTACAATGAAATGGCTGGGCTGGCACCAGAGACGCAGTCCCAGTGGGCAAAGGCTTCCATCGCCTTCTTCTTCTTGTACTATGTCTTCTTTGGCATTTGCTGGCAGGGTACGCCAGGTCCTTTTCCGAGTCTTTGGGTCAATGTTTGCTAATTCACTATAGGTGTGCCTTGGCTGTACCCCACCGAGATCAACAGCTTGTCCATGCGTACAAAGGGAGCCGCTCTCGGCACCGCAACAAATTGGATTGTCAACTTCATGGTACGTCTCCCGCGATTCCCCTCCGATGCAAACAGAAGCACATAGAGACCTAACCCACCAACAGGTCGTCGAGATCACACCACCAGGCATCTCTTCCCTCGGCTGGCAATTCTACATCATCTGGACAGTTTTCAACTTCTCCTTCATCCCCATCGTCTATCTCTTCTACCCCGAAACAGCAGACCGCTCCCTCGAGGACGTGGACCGTTTCTTCGCAGACAACCACGATATTTTCGTCTTCCGCGACAAGGACGCCACGAGCTCTAAGCGGCCGATGAAGTACATCGCGCAGGAGGAGGAGGCGATTACGAAGCGGAACAGTCGGGGCGGTGTGCCCGGTGCTGAGGAGGAGGATATGCTGAGGCGGAGAGGCGCTGTGGAGAAGATGAAGAAGGGGCGCGAGGATGAAGAGCTGGCCTTTGGAGAGCATAAGGAGAGGAGATAGGTGGGGTCTCACATGTTTGTTGGTGGAGTGTACGATCTAGATGAGATATTTACGAGTTATGATGGTAGAAGTTTCATGATACATGATGGTTATCAAACATTCTTTCACGATTGACCTGTCGAGTTTGGCATGACTGTCTAGTCGCTGCCATCGCCAGGGTACCTCGACGGGCTCTGGTCGTACACAAGAATAAACATGGAAGACGTCACCAACTTTGAGCAGTTTTCTTCTAAGATCCAGGGTGATTCCATTCTATGGATCTGTCTATGCTGATCTGATTCGGTCTGGCTAAGGTCTCGGGGGGCACGTTGTCAATCTGTCAGTCTGCTGATCTCAACCCCCCTCCCCCTCCCCTCCTCAATTTCGGCTTGTTCTCTCTGATCCTATCTGCTTTTGTCTCTCTACCCTTCCCTTTCGCTCACTCTGATTCTCCTTCTGTATCGGTTCTTGGCTTTCTAGTCGACAGAGCCTTTCCTGTCGATAAAGGCTTTCTTGTCGATAGAGGCGTTCTTGTCGATAGAATCAAACCCGGTCATCTACCTCACGGAATAGACAGTCAGCAACGAAGAGAGATTCAATAGATAGCACTCACACCAGGAACCCTCTACTTGCCCTCATCTCAACCATCGAAGGGCGTATCCCGCGCCGCAGCTCTCAGCCATCCCGCATAGGCCACAGGCTTCTCCCGGCTTCTTCTGATGATGGTAACCGAAAAGGTTCCTCCGTGGGCCCCGGGAGAGGAGAGCTGGCCAGGGGCAGAAGAGGAATCTTGGCTGATGTTCATCGCGGGGAACACGAGCATGATGAGGTGGACGTGATCGGTGACAGCGGCGTGGTTGATTCGGAGGCTGAGGCAGGTGTCTGCGATATGCTTCAGCCATTTCTGGGTGGTGGGTTCGAGGCGGGAGACGTCGGGGCCGACGATAGAGGTACCCTCGTCGTGGTTGTTCTCGTTCTTGGTCTTGGTCTTCTCCTCCACCTTGCGCAAGTCGCTGACCAGGGCGTCAAAGGTACCAACGGGCCGCACCTCAATCATGGCGAACCGACGACGACGACGGGTACTGAGTGGGAAGCTCAGAGGCAGGATCTCAACTGGATCGTGGAGGGCTATGAGAGAGTACACGGATCTCTTCAATTCCCATAATCCCGTATCCTGCCAACTGTTTTTGACCACAGACGGGATGGGCTGCGTGGGATGGCGGCGGAGGAGATGGATAACGAAAAGGTGAGCGGGATCAAGGATCTGCTTGCACACGTCGAACCAGGTGGCACCCCATTCCGCGGGGCTTCTGACGCCCACCAGCTGTCGGTCTTTGAGGGGCTCCAGGTGGGCGTCGGTCTGGAAGCATTCCTGTACCAGATTGATATAGAGCATGGGGTCGATGAAGGTGGCGTGGGTGAAGTCGCTCATTTGCAGACTGGTCGCGGTCTCTGGTGGCGGCAACGGAGGATCGGGCCGATCGGTGGGCTCTGCGTAGGGGGGAAACCAGTCGGCGAGGTCATCGTAGAGGTCGAAGAGTAACTTCTTGGCCGATAGCGGCATCTCGGCGGGTAGCGGAGGCATTCTGAGCTCTTGATGCAGCTGGAGATGATGTTGGCGACGTGTAGAAGGCGTAAGGGCTGGCTAAATTGGCGAATGAAGAAGGTGATGAAATCCGTTCCAGCTTGGAAAGTGAGAGACGGGTAGGAAAAGGAAAAATCCAGCATTTTCTGGGTTTGCGGTGCAGTGAGATGAATAGTTTAGTGAGTGCCAGGTGTGGATTTGATAAATACCTTAAGGTGGGAAGGTGCGACGGGGGGCGGTGACTCTGTACTCATCCGCACGTGGTGCATGGCTAGGTATTCAGAGTCCTTCACTGAGAGTCTGCCACTTACCTCACAGGAATAACCGTTCGGAAGGAAACAACCTCGGCTCCGACGTTGATTTAGATGTCAAGATTAAAGATCTCACTCTGGCACCTTGGAACGGCGAATCTCAATGGTCCAACATAGACTTGAAGTCATTGCCGAATGGTTGTTGACATGAGCCTCATCGGCTTCCTAATTTGATACCTTGAGAGACATCTTCTTGGCTAAGGGCAGTCTCCTCTTACACCTTCAATTGAACAAGATACACTCGGCCCGATACATGATAATCATGCAGTCAATTTGGCCAGACTACCTTACACGATCAACAATGCCACGCATTGATCTTTTGCGCCTGTAAAGACGGAAAACCCCCACTACATACATACCAAAGACGGTATTCGGAATTACCGCCGTGATCGGTGTACTCGTCAACAACGGTGTCCCCCTCGTTATCATCGACGTCTTCCTCATCGTCGTCATCGACATCTTCTCTGTCGTGATCGGTATCCTCCTTGCCTTCTTTGCCAACTCGAGTATTCTTGAAATGACCTCAAATACTGTCTGGCGAACTCGAATCAAGCTTAGATCTCTTGCGTGACTTCCATTTTAGATCCTCCTCGGGTCCTGGAGTTGGCTCATCCTATGACCTAGTCTTAGGTGGCGGCTGATCCTCACAATCGGCCTCAAGTTCAGCTGAAATTGGACGGCCGATCCGCCGCAGAAACTCTCTCTCCTTTCTAGAAGACTCGACAATAAACTTATGATCGGCCTCGGCTTTGGCTAGACGCTTCTCCTTCGGGGTCGGATGAATGTCATTATCCTCGATGATCAGGTCGAATCTTCCCTGTTCGATGAGAATAGGCTTCTCCCGATCATATTGCTCTTGACCCGTCTTCCACGCTTCATGCATTTTCTCCGTAAGCATGTCTTCAGTCGAATAGCTTCCCTCCTCCGTGGGATCTCCAAATTCGCTCGCGGCCCAGACCTCGTAATCACCCGGCACCTCTTCCGTCCACTCGGCTGGGAACCAGCCTCTGAAATCCTGCAGCTGGCTAGCATTGTAGAACCACGTCGGATTCGGAGGTGTTGGAAGTCGTTGCATCGGGTACTTGTTCATCACATATCTGCGGGGGATCGGCGGTGCTTCTTCATCTAACTCGTCGAGCCTTCCGTGCGTGCTTTCATGGGACTGAGACCACACAACGCAGAAGCTGTAGTCGAGAAGGACAGGACGGATGCCTTCTGGGGTCTGTCGGTCTCGGGTGTTTTGGAGGAAAGTGAGGACGATGTCATGGGGATCGAGACCCTTGATGACGGCGCCGATATGCTCGAAGCAAACACCGCCGTGTATAATCTTCTTCAGGACTTTGAGCCGCGATACAGAGTCGTTCAGAGACAGGACTTTTGACGTGCTGCTTGCGTGATCGATGTAGGGAAGGGAAGCTTTATCGGCAATCAAGGCTCCGCTGTGGTCTCGTTCACACATGTTCTCAAGCGAGCGCCCCGCAATACACTCGATGAGAATCGCGCCTACACATCTCCATTGGCGGGTTCTGGGTGAAGAGGATCTGCCAGGCTCAGGTGAATTGCTAGCGTCGAACTTGAGCGCCCAGCTGCCGTAGTATTGCGGTACCATGTGAGGATCACCCGTGATCTTTTGCTCGTAGAAGTACTCATAGGCATTAGCCTCCCGACTATATAGCTGATTGGAAACTTCGCTGGGTGTGAGCTCGAAGAAACGGGAGGAGAACTGGTCCACAAGGAAGAAGGTTGGGTCGAAGATCTTGAGGACGACCGTGAGCCCGAGGGTAAGATGATGATGAGTGTCGCGGCTGATGGATGGTGTCTTGGTGATCTTGCAAAGGAGGATGAGTGCATCACCCTCGATGTCACCCTTCAAGCATCTGATGACCTCGACCTGTGCTTCGTGACCCGGCTGGTCAACTGTGGGGTCGAAGTCGGGGAGGGGCCACTCATTGGACTCGGGCCTTTCTGATCCGTACTCTTCAAGACTGTAGGGTATACCAGAGCTTCTGGGACAGAGCGTCAAGAGTTCTCCTGGCTTGTAGCGCTCGAATTCTGTCCAAGGGTAATTGTGTCGCTGGCGCTCATCCTCTCCACTTCCTTCCGGCATGCCAGCGTCTGACATGTTGAGGTTTGATCAGGCCTGGCCGAGGGAGTGTGTAAATTTCTCAAGATGCGAAAGAGGAAACGTTGAGGCATGAAAAAGATCGTGTGTAGGAGGGAAAAAACCGTTTCGACGGTGCGAAAGTGGAGGGGGAAAAGACGATGAGAGAGGGCAGAGTGACTTTCGGCGGCGCATGATTTCGAACTCCCCTGGGTACCCGCAAAAGTATAAACGATTGAGATGGAGCACCTCAAGGTTCTTGCCGCTGTTTAAAGGCAGGCCGGCTAAAGGGGAATACTTAGGCTTCTGGGATGAAGGAATGGAACAGAGGTCGGGATCAAGTTGAGGAGGACCTCGAAAAGGTGAAGGATGACTACCTTCGCATTGACACAAGGCGGAAAATCGTAGTACTTTCTCAGCGAGCTACGGCCGGACGGAAACAGCAACGGCAGCTCACCTGTCTCGGGCAAAATAACGCTGGACACCTGAGTCCAAGATGTTTGGATTCGCCTGACCAACTGACATGAAGTAGTTGGTAAGCAGGTAAGCGACAAAGGGCCAAAGGATGAAGATGCCTATGGGAGACCAAATTCCTCTAGAAGACACCTTAACAAGTTCCTCATTCGCGGCTTTTACCATACGAGGCTTAGAAATCAAAACAAAGGTGGTGTTTGCCAGGAAAGAAACCCCCATGTTAAGGAGTAAAGCACCTTTGTTTTACTATGCGACCTCTGCAATCTCCTAGGAAAAGTTGCGTTTGCAAGAGAAGAATTTTCCCAAGATCTGTGCCGGACTAAGCGCCGGGAGGAGGCATCGTCGATGTCAAGATAGATTTTAGACTTTGGTAAGTCAGCTGAATGACCAAAGACTTCACCCGAAATGTCGATAGAAATCTTGATGCGATGGAAGGAGGAAACGATGAGAGGAGGAAGTGATGTGAACTCGGATACTTGCATCTCATCAAAAAGGGCGAGGTGCTATCAGACGTAATTCAGCAATCTGAGATTAACCATGTAGGATAGACGGATGGAACGATACTCAGCTGGAATGCGAGACGTTGAGACTAATATCTTCGGAGGGTTGATGTCGGATGAGAGGACATAAGAAGTAAACCTCGAAGGGAGGATGGAAAGACGTTTCTCCCATGCGGTGAACAGGAGGTAGAAGAATCAAGTAGTAGGTGAGACGAGACCAGAATCGCACTACTGGCCCCGCAAGGATCGGGCAAACCAGAGCGTACGACCTCTAAGGAGGTTACCTAGTTCCTAATTGCTTCTTCTATTACTTCCACGTCGTAGTGGAAGGCGAGTAATCAATCAAAGTTTTTGGTATGCCAGTATCTCCTACCTTTGACCCCGTGATTAACTGACTGCACTCGACGTCGACCCCAGTCTCACGTCCAACTTCTCAAGCTCATCTTACCATTCAATGAGAATGGTCGCCATTGCCTAAGACTAATTTAGTCCTGAGTCTCATCCTTGGAATGTGAGTAGACCTCAATCAGACCAGCCCAGCCAAAACAGAACCAAGAACCCAGAGCTCCCCAAGCACCACCTCCTCATCCTCACGCCCTCCCAACAACACCCAACAACTCATCGACAACGACTCCCCTAAAAGCCCGATCCAGTCCACAACTGCCACCCTTACCAAACACACTCCCATCTTCGTCCTCGTCCTCGTCCTCGCCACCGCCTCCTCTTCCTTCTGCTCCGCCTCCCACCTCCATGGCCGAGAACACGACAGCCAACTGCCGCGGATCCAACGCCGCCCGCACGGCAGCCGTATACCTCCCACCCATGACCGCATTCAACGTCCCAAGATGTTCCGCCGCAGAAACAGCACCAACGCCGACACCAGGCCCAGCACTGCCCGAAGATGAGGCCGTAGACGAAGACGAAGTCGCAGACACAGTCGCAACATCCGTAATCGACCGCCCCAGCCCAATCTCCAGCAACAACACCCCCAACGCAAATACATCCCTCCTCTTCCCCTCCTCCAGCGCCTCTCCCCCATCCCCACGATCCTCACCACCACCACGAACCCGACACCGCCTCACCTCCCCCTCCTCGAACCCAGCCCCGACAAGCAACGGCACCGACACCTTCGCCTCATATTCCCCGCCCCTCACCCCAAACCACACATTCTCAGCACGCACGGCGCCATGCACCCGATCAACAGCATGAAGCTCGCTCACCGCCCTCGCAAGCTGTCCCGCAAACCGGATCTTATCCGAGAGGATCCTCGCCGCCGCCTCCCGCCGCCCGCGCGTGAAGTGGCCCGTCGGCGAGCCGAGGTGCTCCGACAGTCTGTGGATCTCGGCGCCGCGACAGCCGTGCAGCGGAGAGGCGTCGTAGAAGTATTCCAGCCGCCGATCCAGGTCCTGCTCCCTATCTTGATTCCGGTGCCGGGTGAGGACCTGAAAGCCCGTGCAGCGGGGGAGGTACGGCGACCGCGTGGCGTGTAACAATGTAGCGAGCTTGAGCGTTTTGCGGCATATATCTGGGTCATCCCGCGGCATGGCCCTCGTCTCGACAATGGTATTCGCGTCGCGGAACCGCAGACACGAGGTCGTAACAGACACACCATCGACTCCGTCAGCGCCAGGGGTATGACACGTATCATCACTCGCGAGGAGCAAGCTCGCAATCAAGGGGGCATCCCCCCTCTGGATTCGAATCTGCCAGATATCGTGGTCGAGACTCGCGTCCCGCCCCACGGCGATAGTGCGCAGCTGGACGGCGCGCGTGTCCCGGCTGAAGAGGTCTTGGTTGAGCACGCGCTTGATAGCGAGCACGATGTCGGCACGGATCTCGTCGTTGAGGGCTTTCACCTGTCTGTGGGTTTCGAGGAGAAGTTTCGGGTACTGCGGGCTTGCGAGGAATGTCTCTGCCGGCCCTGCCATCACCGGGCTCTGTTGAAAGAGGCGGAGGGTCTCGTTGGCTCGTCTGAAGGAATATCTGCAGATGTTGAGGTCCACCGGCGCGAGGCCGCGGAATGTGGTTGAAGATGTCTCGAGGTGGCAGATTTGGTCGTTGTAGATAAGTCTATATAGCGCTATTGTGCGGTGTAGTTCGGATTGGAGCTGGTTCATCTGTCTTCGGGTCTGTAACTGGATCGTCTTGGTAGTGTTAGCCAAGTCGACTAGTTGACGGGCAGTCTCCTCGGCTCTGAAGACCACTTCCCCCAGACCAATGGTGCTCTCGTTGCTATTACTATTCGTCATGTCTGCGTCGATATATCGAGTCTTCCTCAACTTGTTGACGAGCACATTAACGACGCAGCAGCGGGTTGTTATACACAACCTGGATCCATGGTGGAGGGTATCCCAACACAACGGTTCACTCTCCCGGTTCCGGGAGGTGTTCCCACAGTTGTCGAACCCGGCAGCATGAACGTTACCTCGGAAAACATACGCAGCGCACCGGCAAAATTGCGGTACAGTAACTGAATCGGGTTTCAAGAATCAGATCCTGCCCAACTGGCGGCATACGTAGATCTCTGCGGGACACCGAGTCGTGAATCATGCCATTGCTGCAGACATTCAGCTTCCAACGACTCGTCTTTTGGTCGTTTTGCCATCCAACAAAGACCCCTCCCCCTCCTTCTGTTCCATTTCAGCCTTGCTAGGTTCCTCAACGGAGAGGGGCCCACCAGGTATTCAGGAACGAACTCAGGCCCATGACATCACACCCGAGAGAATGCATATCATGGACCTCGAAGGCCGAAATGCTGGGTCCGACGCAGTGGCTCGTGTACCATACGTCAAGGAGACTGAGGGGAATCGGGGACTAGACATGTTGTTGCGGACCAATGTTTCAAGCGCTTAGCAGCCAAGTCACAAGCCAGACGGCCCGGCAACGTTGCCAGCGTGGTGTGAGCAACCCTATTCCAACCACCATGTGGGCTGGCCCGATTCATTGTCGGACAGAGACCCTGACCCGAGCGATATTAGACGCTGGTTGTGGGTACGGAGTAGGTACGAAGTGCGGGTATGCAAGCTGAAAGTGAGTCGGAAAAAGAAACGTGCCCAGCTTCCTATGAAGGACGGTGAAGGACCCCTTAGTACCTTTCGCCTGGGACTGATGCGCCACCTGGCGTATCTTAGCTGCCCGTATCGGCCATGTTCCGCATTGTCAATTCCCATCTTGCCCTCATGGCCCCATGGTTCTAGTCCCAGATGGTCGCAGCGGTGAGAGAGAGAGAGAGACAGAGGGAGTAAAACAAGTAAAAGACAAAAAGCGATTTCCACGTAAGCGATGGAAGGCCGGGGGTTTCATGGCATTAGGGCAGGTCGGCCGAGCTTACTCGTCTTCGGCGGCCACGCCGATTCGGGGAGCCTAGTAGTAGTGCCCTCAAGTCTGATCCGTTGATAGGAGCTCTTAACGGATTCCCATATGCCCGCATATGCAGCTGGCCCTTTCAGGCATGTAGTCCATCTAGGTAGGAGTCCGACGTCCTGTTGATATCGTCGTCGGCGGGGTCAGTTTTTGCTGCCTGAGCAGCTCGCCACTTCAAACAAAGCGATTCGGCATCCCAAGATTCCCAGAGAGACGCCCTTGCCGAAGATGTCGTCGGCGTTGAAATTTGGTGCCTATGCAGGGGGGGGTTCCGCTCCGTACGCGGCCCGGTCACCAACTTGTCACATCAGCCAAGGTCGTATTCCATAGTTGAGCTGCTTAGTAATAAGACGAAATCCCACAGACAGAGGCCAGGCCAAATCTCCTCGCTCGAAATCAGGGTTCGATCAAGGCCTCGACTCTGGTTGCGGGAGCTTGAGTGGGGGTGCCTGGGCGAATATGTCGCACAGAGCTCGAATGACACAATGGCGCAGATGTCTCGGGATTTCCGTCGAGGATCCATACTGGCGGTACGCTGGTCAAGCTAGCTATTAACCCGTCTTTTGGTCACGTTACTACGCGGGGAATCGCGGAATGCTACCACGGGGATCCATTTGGCAGTTCCGTATGGAATATACTCTTCGCCCAAAGCACATACGGCACAACGACCATAACGCATGATTCGAGTCAGAACGGGGTTCGCTTTCTTTCTCTTGCAATCTCTTGGGCCGTGAAGTATCGGCCTTGTTGTATATCGAATTAGAAAAAGGAAGTGTCTAGGAACCAGATCTGAGAAGCGTGACGTGTCTGATGCATGACATGACATGACAGGGTGGGTAGTCTGAAGCGCTCTGCGCCGTCTCCTCTCGCCTCCGCGACTGTTCCTGGATCGTGGCCGCAGCTGGTACGTCAGTTTGGAACCATGCTGCAACTTCACCTCGTCCCTCCCATGGACCCCTTACTGTACCCCACTTTGCTCGACATTTGCAATTCTAGGTCTAGGAAGAGACAGCCTCCTTGACGTCCTCCTTGACATCCTGGTACGTCAGTTTGGAACCATGCTGCAACTTCACCTCGTCCCTCCCATGGACCCCTTACTGTACCCCACTTTGCTCGACATTTGCAATTCTAGGTCTAGGAAGAGACAGCCTCCTTGACGTCCTCCTTGACATCCTTGGCCAGGTCGCCAACACTCTTCTGAGATTGCTGCCACATGAGGATACGGGAGCACTGGACGACGCCGACGACACCGAGGAAGAAGTTGACAGCAGCAAGACTGGAAAGTTTAGTTGACACGTTCCCTTTGTGAGACCCTTCATGACGTACAGGTAGTTCTTGGGCTTAATGATCAAGCACCAACGGGTCCAGATGATACCAGTGGCCGTCAGGGCACCGTTCTGGGTGAGAGACAGCTTCTCGGCGGGACGGGCAAAGTCAGCAACACCGGCAAGAACGAGAGCCCACTGTGTATTGTGTTGCCAGTCAGCATTCATTCCATGGAGAAATTCCCAATCCTCTCGGGTATTTTTTCGTCCGGTCTGTATCGACCTCCGACATCGCGACCGGACATCTGCAAGGGATATATCCGGAGGTAGCTCCAGCTATCAGGACTTCATACCTTCATAACAGGAGCCCTGGAACCATCGGAGTCAGCGGACATGTCCAAAGAATACCATCCGAAGCCCTTATATCGCATGTCGGGGCAAAGTCTACTCACCAAAAGTGTACCGTCTTGATTCCGATGGGGCTGTCCCACATGCGCTTGAACCAGCTGACCTGGGCATCGGCGGACGCGGTCGAGCTCTGCCATCTCTTGGAGCTCTCGCGGAACTGGGCGCGGAACTGGGAGGTGCGGAAAGCGTTGCGGATCTGGGCACCGGCGAAGACCTGCTGGCGGAAGGCAGGGCGCGCGGCCTTGAAGAAGTTGTTGGCGGGGGCCATTGTGACGGACTTTCAAAGCTATAGCTTTTCTTTTCGTGTGTATATGTCGTCGGAGACTCGGGTTCGGGGGATCGATTGAGAAGAGATCTCAATTCACGCGGAGGCAGAGGTGGTTCGGAGCGGAGAGGGTTTTCTTTTCGATAGACGCACGGAAGGGATGGAGGGGAGAGGTTGAGGCGAGGTTGAGAGACGCAGATGCGTTGAGGTTTGGGACGTCCGAAGATGAGCGGGCAGCTTTTTTTGGCCCGGGAGCGCGAGCGAGCGCATACGGTGCACTGTGAGGAAGGCGCACGGCAGCTCTCAGCAAGCAAAGAGCATCCGCCAACCGGAGATAAGCGGGGACAACCCGTCAAGGGAAAAAAAAGTTGACTGCGGGAGCACTGACCAGGTCGACCTCACCTTCCAATGTCCATTGGCACCTTGTGACCTTACGTAATACTTGCCTGTAGCTGCGTACCTTGAAAAACGGCCCCTAGATCAGGGTGTTGAATTGTGCATGTGCATAAACCCAGAGCTCTAGGAGTCCAACCAATCAGTAATACCCAATTAGACAATTTATGCTCATCCCGAGTTCCCGACCGGCTTATGCAAGATTCCCTGACCCACCTCGAACCGTGAGCATCTCGTCAACTTCAATCCTCGCCAGTCCACCAGCAAAGAGGCTCCTCCAATCGACCCGAATCCCGCCAATTGACCCTACCGCCGCCCGTCCGCACCTCCTCCGCGCAGCCCCAGCCACGATGTCGAGCAAGTACGCATTCACAAAGGCCCTCAAGGAGGTGCGCTTCCTTTTCTGCCAGACGGGCGAGCACAGCGCCGCGACCCGGTACGTTTCCTCGACTTCCCTACACACGCTCAGCGCATACACACCCCAGCCTCGAAACCCCCCAACGACGACGACACCAACCGCTCGCATCACCCCGATCCCCCGCTAACCTCTTCTCGCAATAGCAACTTCGTCGCAAGAGCCTACCCCACGATGAAGAAGAACAACCCCCAGACTCCCATCCTCATCCGCGAGGCCGCCGGCACACTACCCAAGATCTACGCGAGATACGGTCAGAACCACTCCCCAATGATACAGAACGGACAGAGAATGCTGATTAGGATCTCTCGCTCAAACAGAATTCGGTGTTGAAAAGAGCCAATCGTTGGAAGGTGAGAACCATCACCCCCTCCTTCAATCACTCTCAAGGACGCTCAGTAGCTAACACGCTCCGCAAAAGGCCTGTCGGACAAGCAGATTGAGGACACAGTTACGACCCTGGTGAAGAACGGTGCATAAACGTATAAACCCGGGCGGGGACAGTTGAACGAATAGACCAAAATAAGGACCTTTTGTACCATCACCATGTTGAGAATGACGAGTCGAAAGTTGTATTGAAACTGAACTCAGCGAGCTGTCGATAAATGAAAGTAGACGCCATGGCCACAGTTCGGGGTGATCTGGGTTTCCAAAGTACGATCCCTACGACAATCCCATACATGGTCTGCTAGATAGTGTCCACGTCCCTCGGGATGTTCACTCTGCCCTTGATCAGACGAGACTCTGGGCGAAGACGAGTTTACTCCAGGCCACCTATGACGGGGCTCACGACCGCCCAAGTAAGCATTCAAGCAATAAACGATCAGATAGAGAGTCTTCCGAGCAATGTTCATTCTATTTCTTCGCAACTACTAAGCCACAAGCGCGAGCTATGGGTATCACTCAAACACAAATCCTTCTCAAGGAACGAATCTAAATCCTCCCCATCACCTGCTTCCGGGCTACCTCCCAACAGGCTCTCCAATCTACAGAAAAGCTCTTAGTCAACCCTGTCCCGTCACATCTGCTTCCGTCTTTCTGTATTTGTTCGTACCGCGCCCATATCATTCCCCCACAAACATCGAACATCCTTCTCTAATGCTTGCCACTGCCCTCCTGAGGGAGCGCGCCTAAGGATGTCTTGTCCTTGGTCTTGTTCTCACTGCTCATGCTGCTGGTAGTAGTGGTGGTGCCGATCTTTGTAGCAGTTGATGTTGCACGCGCTTTGCCCCAGACGCTGGTCGCAGGGAGGCTAGAAGCAGGCAATGGAGCAGGCGGCAGGGACGGGAAGTCGTCTTTACTAGCAACAGAAAGCTTTCTGTTGTGCGTCCCAGGGGCATGTTGCGGTTGCTGGATGTGCTTGTGTCCTTGAACATTCTGCTTCTTAGGCGAAGGGTTGTTCTTCTGCGGTTCTTGCTTGCCCTGCTGCTGCTGCCCGTACTGTTCGCGGTCGCTGCTAAGCTGTTGCTGCTTTTTCTTGCTAGCGGCCTTCTTCGCACGCTGTCTTTGACCCTTGCCACTGCTAACATTTGATGGCTGTGGGACGGGCGTATCACCTTCAGCGGGATGGTCCTGCTTTGCCTTCGCCATGCTCTCGGGTGTCGACTTTTGTGTGCCTTCATCTTGGGCTGGCGCTTCACCAGTTGTAGAACTCTCTCCATTGTCGACGCCATCTCCAGCATCATTCCCCTGACACTTCTCAGCTTTAGCTTTGGGAGGCGTTGGTCCTGGAGTGAGAGTTCGGGATGTGACCGACGAACTGCGAGAAAAGTTGCGTTGATGCTGAGTGGTCTTCACTGGGATCGGTACCAATGGAATTGGCGCCAGCTTCACTCTATGAACGGCAGGGCGCGGTACAGGCGACACAAACTCCTTTGCCTTTGGATTGAGTTGCAAGGTTGACTTTGCCGTCGCTTCGCTCTCAACCACGGACCTTTCTGGCGAAACCTTCGGTTCAGGCGTCCTGGCCGACGATGGAGTTGCTGGGGTCGATAAGGCCTTGGGCGAGCTGTTTCCAGAGCAGCTTTCCTGGGCTGTGGTGAAGCTCATCTGTGAAGTACTCGCAGCAGATGGAAGAC